AAAATAAAAATATAACATGTTTCAAAACCTTAAAACTTACATTTACATATACTTAACAAAATATTTTATTACTGACATGTAACTTTTAATAAAATTATAAATTTTCTTGAGACATTAAATTCCTAACATACAAAAAAATATTAAGTTGGGATAAAAAAGACAAAGCAATTCCTCATTTTTAGAATGGTTTCTTACCTTTTTCATATTATTCAATATGATATTATTCAATATGAGAATTTGGTGAATATGTACTTAAAAATAACAACACAATTATTGTATATTTATAATTTTATCCTCTTAGTTTCTTCTTCAGTTTTATAACTCTCATATAATTTATGATTTTGTCCCCTTCAAACTTTGATAATTTAATATATTTAAGTATATATCTACAATTTTATTCTTTCACTCTTTCATCTTCTTTTTTCCTTTTATATTTATTTATTATTGATTAATAGTATATTATTTGGCCCCTCCAAGATGAATGGTTAAGATCCGTCATTGTTCTCCTTAATATTGAAGATATATTTTATATCCAAAATACTTCATTACATCGATAAAATGAATGATTCATACAGATCAGTTTATTTTGAGGATGTGGGTTATCTCTAACATGTAACAAAGTTATCTCTAACACGTAACAAGATTTCACATTAAAGAAACTAACTTCAAAATAATATTAAATGCATATTTATGCTTGAGAAAGAAATAATTTATAAAGTTCACAAGTGATCTTAATTAAATAAAAATATATTTCATATAAAAGCACATACTAATATAAATTTTAAAATTCATCATAGGATAATTGATATTATCGGTAACAATCTCCCCTTAATAATTACTCATCAGAAATTGAATTTGTGACCTTAACTCTTATACTAATTATAAAGATCAAATGTTTATTATTTGGTCAAAAATTATAATTATTAGTTAGAGCGCAACTCATTTTATTTAAGAGTAAGAATTCAAACGTCATAATTCGATTGTAACTTGGCACATCCTACTTTTATCACGGGACAATTGATATTAGCTACAACAAACATAAATTTGTCAAAAAAAACTTAGAAAACTAGTTACAGGAGTTTCACTAAGACCGTATAAAAGTTTTAACAATTTGCCAACCTTCCCAAAAGAAGCACAAAAAAACCAAGAAGAAGTGACTATATATATTTATTCATAAATATCACCGCCAAGATTAAAGTTCTGGTATTTTGACTTAACGAGACCTACATTTTTAAATTGAATTATTAAATAAATAATAGAATAAAAGGTTATCGATATTAATAAATAACCTAAAATTTTCAAATAAGATATTTTAAAAATCAACTACAAAATTTACAAATCTAACTCATATATAAATCTAAATCGTTAACATGCTTATCTAGTTAAAAATATAATAAATAAATTCTTAGATATCATGAGAGTCTCTTTGAATTTTTTTTTTTTTTTAAACTACACCAATGACAAAATTCAAATCCAAAAAAAAGTATGAAGCTTTTATAAATTCTTGTTCATTTATGTCTATCTAGGTTGGTACATTTGTTTTTGATTTGAACATCTTAGCTACAAGTCCTTATATCAATAAAATCTAATCTATCCATGATATTTAATTCAATAATTTATAATTTCTAGATAAATCACTTACTAAAATTGACAAGAATGATTGGACTAGACAATTATCACTTCAAGTTTAGTCCATCAAATATATTACTTTTTATTTAAATGTATGCATTTTCTTTACAGTTTCATATTAATCTTTCAGAATGATTTAAATCATATATATTATATTTTGTGTACACAGGGATATGATTTACCGATATAAATTTGTTTAATATTATTAAAATTAATTTCTCCTAGTTTAATTCTCTAAAATTGAGTATGTGATAAGAAATTTAACTCCTAAACCTTTATATTAACTCTTGAGCGGAGTTTCTGATATATTTATTTGTTCCAAATATGTTCATAATATTTTTTTATGGGTTATTATAATCATGATATATTTTCTTCGTCTCCTAACATTTATCGCTTATGTTTGCCTCTCTCTCTCTCTCTCTCTCTCTCTCTCTCTCTCTCTCTATATATATATATATATATATATATATATACTTTTCCACTCAATTGCATCCATATTTATCTAAAATAATATAAAAAAATATATTTTAAAAATATTTTAAATCTACCTTTTAAAAAAAAAAATAGAAATTTTTCGAATTTTATCTTCGTGGAAGCTTTCCAAAAACATTATAGAATTAAGTAGATTGAATCTTGAACGCTTTCAAATTTTGTTTAAATGGTTAATCCGAAAATTTTCCAAAAAATTGATTTCAAAAAACATGATCTGAAAATAAGTTTTGATTGTTAAATCCAAAATATATTTCATAGGATATAATATGATAAATGAATTATAGATTGTTAAATATAAAATACATTATTAGAAAATACAATAGAAAATTGAGTTATAGATAAACTAATCCAAACTATAATTTTTAGAAAACACAATCCAAAAATGTGATACAGATTCAGCAATCCAGAACTCATTTTTGGACTGTCTTTTAAATGTAACAATCCTAAACAAATAAATACATTTTTTTACAAGATTTTTTATACACAATTCAAAACATAAATCACCAACAAATTTATAAAGGGAAAATCATACTTAAATAAAGGTTATTGGGCCCCTTTCGTGGTTCCTTGGTTCCACGGGCCCATATATAAATATTATTGGGCTTACGGAGTTTCTCTATCTGGTCCACAAATATACTGTCGAAGGCTGAGATTCCATTTTATGAACAGCATTACTTTAAGCAACATGATTGGATAAGAAAAGTTTATTAACACCATAAATACAAAGATGATGTGTAACTTTTAAAAACAAGCATATAATTTAAAATGAATTAAAGGTGTCATAAACATATTTTTTATTCTTAATCGCCCCTTTTAATTTTTGGTCGATACTCCTTGTCACCTCACTTTAGTTTGAGATTTTTGTTCATCGAAAAAATGCGACGTTGTAAAATAGAAGCAGAATTGGAATCTGGAAAAGCCTTAGGCAACAAAATTTGTGAATCATAAATAGGGTATATATTTGCAGACAAAGCAACAATATCTGCAGTGGAGATATTTCCCAGTATTATGCATGTAGGTAGGTAACGGATGGGTCAATTATAATGTTGTGTTTGTTTAAAGTAAATGGTTGTGGCGTACACATAGGTCTGTTTTTAATAAATGGGGCATTACATTATTGACAAATACCGGACCAATTGATGTCACTGCAATGCTGACCAAATTTATTATTATTTGGCATGCGAGTCAACCGTGTTGAATTATGTTAGACACATACATAATACACAACAGGATGCAGTCTGCAAACAAATTGATGGATCCAAAAGAAATGTTAGGATCTGAAAAAGAATAAATGAAGATAATAAGTGTTAAGAAAATGTAGTAAAAGAAGAGATTGATAGTGGGTGATGTTGTTTTTTTTTTTTTTTTTTTGAATGGTCCACACTCAACATGCATGTCTGAAATGCCTTGGAAATCATGTTGTTCTCGTAAACTTAGGGTTCTCTTTTGTGAGTGAGTTACTTAAGAAGAATAATAGTATTATATGAAGATGAGAAGAATAGTGGTCCAAATGTGTGTATAAATATAAATAAAGAGAGGAGGAAAAGTAGATTGCTATATATTACATGGGCAAAGCATTGGTGTCATTGTTGTCGCACAACAGAGATAAAATGTTTGAGCAAACGTCACATCGTGCTGTGGCCAAAAGCATTAAAAGGAAGTAATTATGAATGAATGATTCACAGTTCAGACTCTTTGGGATAAAGATAAAGTCATACTGACGCTGTCTCCTGACACCTTTCGTCACCACCTACCCTCAACCTCAACCTTCACCATTACCATTCACCTCAATCCCAAACAAACCCCATTTTTTTTAATGCCAACATGCATTATTTTACTTCACTTTATCAATTCTATGTCTGTTTAAAACATAAATGTTTCAGTGTTTCTGGTTTATAGGGACTTTTTTGAGCTTGGTGGAGTGATCTAATAATATAAGGTAATGAAGCTCGGGAAAATAAAAGGGTTCAATCAAATGGGCCACAAACGCTCTTTCAATCAGTCTAGGTCCATAAAAGATTTAATTTTTCTGAACCCAATGAAGCTGAAACGGAACTCAATTGTATTATGGAAAAAGTTAAACCTAATGGAGCCCAAATGAATTTGATTAGAAAATAGATTTTGATGTGATGAAGGTAAGAGGACCCAACCCATGACCATAGTAAGTCCAAAAAAGTTAAGGTCCATGAAGCAGAAGATGTGTCCCGTGTACTTTGAAAAGGAGCTACTACTCTTCAACTTGTTATTTATTTATAAAATGGGAAGAAGAAAAATTAAGAAAAAAAAGAAAGAGAATTAATAAAGTAGCCCGGCTTGAATGCTGGGCAGACAAAGACTGGACTGGGGTTGAATAGAAAGGGGGAGGGGACTACCCAAACAAAGAATGGTCACCATCGCATGAAACACAGTCTCTCACTCTCTCTCTTGCCCGAACTGCCCGAAGATGTGAAATAACAAAGAATTTCTCTCTCCTCCTTCTCTCTCTGATGCTAAAACGACAGTGCGGTGCATTGGCATGTGGTCAGAGAGGCGTCAATCATAAAGCAATGGATTGCAAAATGATTTAGCCTCGTTCCTTGTGCTCTCGTTCCTGTTTCCTTCCGTTTCGATTCACTTGAAAGAAAAGAAAAAGACTGTTTTATTACTCACTCTATTCCTTCATTATTATTTATTAATATTATTCACCCACCCACCCCACGAACCCTCTCTTTCTGCATGTCTTGTTTTTATTTATCTAACCTTTTATTCCATTCCACTACCACCCACTCCTTTTCACTCTTTGACATGTCACTTCCCTTGTCACGTGCCAAGGATTTCAACACATCCCTCCCCCCCTCTCTCTCTCTCTCTCTCTCTCTCTCCTCAAACGCAACAGAATGATGCCTTTCCCTCCCGCGAGAATCTCGCCTTATTATGCGTCGTCTTCTATTCTAACACCTCGCTAGCGTCAATTTTTGTTAATTTCTCTCCTTTGTCTTTTCTCCCAAATCATCTTCCACCTATCTCGCTCCCGACCAACAACACTTCTCTCTCTCTCTCTCTTCCTTCCTTACACTCTTTTTCACTTTGCTTCTTTAATCACTCTGCAACATTATACCAAAATCATTTCACTAATTTGGGACCATGGATGAAAAGATCCATGACATGGCATTGTACTACGTCATATTTATTCACATATGTGATGTGAGACACCAATTAATTAACCCAAACCCGTATACGTATACTTGCTCCAATATACCTAAACCTAGAAAATGGTCTTTCCAATTAGGCTCTTTCCATTAATCTGCTAAGTCTCGGGCCTTTTTCTCACGCATAGCTAGGACTGGGCACGTTCCCAGTAAAATGAGCAAGTGAATCAACTGCCACTCTGATCATTCTGCGAAAAGCAAAATGAGGAGAGAAAGAAAAAAGAAAAAAATTGTTAATTTTGTTTGTTTGTTTGTTTGCGTTGTGTTTATGAATTAAATTTGGTAGCTGCACGGGGTCTGACACGAATGCTGAACATTAAATTGATTGCATGAAAATTCGATGGCACCGTGTGTCAGGTAGTGGGGTGAGAGGGCCCCGGTGACACAGTGCAAGATTTCGATGCAATGGAATGGAAGTGAATTGAAGGGAAAGGGAAAACGAGACAAAACGACGACGCATGGGAAGGGGTGAAAAGAAGGGCGTGAGCTCAGTGGTCGTTTTCGACCTTGTCCATACGGCATGCAGATCTGACGGCTGACAGAGAAAGCCTTCATTCATTCATTCAATTGTCGTCCACGACATTGACGTGACACGTGGGTGCAGATCCTGCGCCCAGGATTCAATCAATGAATCATAGCGTAATGATGAATAAATTATTTCAACTATCTAGTACCACTACCACTACTACTATATACTCACTACTCCTACAATGCCTTGCCTTGTGCACACTTACTATCCTATGCGTGTGTCTGTGTCTCTGTTTATACACACCTATGATCTTCTATGACATGAACACTGACCACTGTGTTCAGAATTGTACGCCAACTTTCTCACTTCTCCTTCTCACCGATTCTGTAGTATTTCTAAAGCTAAAAGAGAGGGTAAAACAAACTTCCCCAATCTGCTCAATCACTATTTTAATCCATAACATTCCATAACGTTTTTGTGTTAGTTTTTCCCACTAAAAGAAAAAATAAAACTCTTTTTTCTGTTCACTGCTCTTTTATATTAAAATAAAATAAAAGCACTACACCCACTTTTTATTTTTCGCAGACATACTAAAACGATTCTTAGCTATTAAAAAAATTTAGTGCCATAAATGTTTCTAAAACTGATATTTATTTTGCTGCATGGTGGATTAATACTTGTCAGGTTAAGAAAAGAGGAGAATACCACTAACTAGTAACTACTAAGGTTGACTGTGTTGAGTAGCTGAAGGCTAAGAGGGTTGTTCTCTGGGTCCTTCAGTTATTATTACTGTTGTTTTGGCTTGCTTCTCTGCATTCTGCTGAGAAATACGTACTCTCACTATACCTACGCTATTGCTATTGCTATTGACCATGTACAGGTTCCTGCTTTCTGCACCTATTTTTCAAATCCAATCTATTCATTAATAATGAATGCGTTGTTCAGCTTCAGCTTCAAGCTGGTTTTAACTTTTTATAAATTAATCAATTAATTAATATAAGTAAAGGTACAGATCCAAAGGGGAGGGTCCTAGTACAGAAGTGACGCTGCCAATTGTAACACTTGCATGGCAAGTTTTTCAAAAGTAAAAAAGTGACACTGATGAAAATGAGACAACGTCAAAAAGAGAAATGAAACAAAATGTTCCCAACTTTTTTTTCTTTTTCTCTTTATCCACTTTTCCTTTTTGTTTTAGGATGAAGTGTATGTAATTTGCTTTTGCATTGTTGTTAGGATTAGTTTTATATATTTATGCGTTTGTACCACTTTATATACATGATTAGCTTGATTTGTCAATAAATTTGAGCTCATTATTACTACGCCAACCTTTTAATTACAAATGAAGTGGATGTAGACCATATATAGAAACTTGCACATAATGGATAACTAGTTAACACGTTAATATTAAAGTACTTATGTACCAAAATCAAATGATGAGAAAGCTTTGTCGTAAAAGAAGTGGGAAAGAAGAAAAGAGTGTATACGTTGATTATGAAAGTGAGTCCATCTCTGTCAATGAATATTTAGAGTTTTACTTTTTAAAAATAATAATAAACAAATGCGTAAAAAATTTACCAAAAAAACTCGTTTAAATTTTATTTATTTCTGATGATAGAGGCATTAATCATGAGCTGTGGGACTTGCGTGTAGAAATTAAAGTTTGGAATCTAATGATTAAGTTAAAAAAATTATATGATTTACTAACATGTTAATAACTTCTTCATCGGTACTTCAAATTCCTATATTCATATGTGCAAGTACCAAAAACAAAGCTTTTAGCTGGCGTTTATCTAATCTATTAGGACAAGCGTTTTTAAGATTAGCCCTTGTTTTCCCTAAACAAGAACATACATGTTTTTAAAATAGGATAAAATTTTATCCTCTTATTATATAAGACACGTGTACGGTTAATTTTTAATATTTTTTTAAGGTGGTTAAATTGTAAATATATATATATAACCAACTTGAACGATTTGAATTAATGAATGTGTAAGAGAAATATATATATATATATATATATATATATATATATATATATATATATATATATAAATTGGGTCAAATAATGTAAGGGTCCAAAAGTTAAAGTACGTACTTGCATGTCACATTATAAAAATTGCACTGTTCTAATTCCAAAAAATAAATCAGTTTTGTGAGTTGTTCCTACTTTTCAAAATTGGTGTGAGATTGCCAAAAGAAAAGACATGGACATTAAACAAGAATACTATATATCGTCACATGCATGTGTATACACAGTGAACTTTATGATATCGGAAAGAAGCATTACAGTGACAAAATCACGTGCTTACATGTATATGCTTATAAAAGAAATAACTTATTTCAGAAATTGTTGCTGCAACTGCAAAAGTGATTAAAGCAATATAAAAATTGCAAATCTGTTGTTAGAAGAATGGATAGTCAAATCTAAGAGTTTTGAATCTATGCATTTATGTAAGTGCATCAATACTTACGGATCTGACGACAATTCACAACCCTATTGTTTTGGTAACACATTTAATAAGACAAGTGTTATTAATACATTATTCTAGGGATCATGATGATGGTGCAGATATGGATAGTAACTTCTGTCACCTGTTCCACTTATCTTTAAAATATTTGCTTTTTACCCAAAAGAGTTATATGTCAATTACAAAGCTATCTATATATTTTTTTAAAAGAATTAAGACATTAAAACAAATTTCAAAATACATACTTTAAAATATATATTATTGCTAAAATTTATTAAACTAACTTATATTATATGTAATTAGTGAAAATATAGACATTTGCATGTTCATATTTTCTTTTTCTTTTTCTCGTATTTTTATTATTTTTAAATATATAAATCATAATAACTATTTTTTTTTAAATTATAACACTTTATGTATAATTATAGATTAAGAATATATAATTACGTGGATGACACTTTTGTATACCTTCTTACCTACTCCCATTTCATGAGTGAGAAGATAGAGAAAATCTATTTATTTTAACTTGTACGTACAAATTAAGTGATATAAATTCTCTATCTACAACATATTTTATCCCGTACGTATGCATATTGGAATCTTTTCATTATTCTTTCTAGCATAACAACAAAATTTTTACAATTTTTTTATTCAATTAAATTCATATGAACTTTATTTCTAAACTAGTACCATTCATATAAATTTCGACAAATACGAAAGAATGTGTTGATAAAAAGTATCAGAGAAGAATATTTTAAATTCTACTACACACCTTCCTACTATTCTTCCTCTTACTTGCTTTATATGGTAAGTATGGACTGTTATTTTTACTTTTTTTAAACACATTAAATGTACTTTTTAATTATGATTTTTTTTTTTGTAAGAAACATTTATATGTTTCAATATTCGAAGACAATATATGATTTTTCTTTTGCATTAAGATAAAACCAACAAATATAACTTGAGATTTTCTTCTTAGTTAATTGTTTTAATTAAATCTATACTTCAACAACATGTTTTTGCGGTAATGACAAGAAGCCAAAAAACTTCTGACTAGAAAACCAATAAATACATTCTATTGATCGAGATAAATATTCTTTGATTTGATCATCAATCAGTGTTTGTACCGTAATGAAGTTCCTTTAAGATTATAGTTTTCAAAATAAAATAAATAAAATAATCTCTAAATTTTAGGGCTACGAAAGAAAACATTTCTTTAAATTTGAGGAAACTAAAATATTTTTTTTAATACGAGAGACCGAAAGCAAATTAGTCTCAATTTAAAAAAAAATTAAAAACATTTTTATATATAGGTACGAGTACGAGATGGGATAAATAATATAATATTCACACCTTCACCATCCTCATTTATTTTGGAAGATAATTCCTTATCCTCTTCCCCCATTATGCGAATTATTATTATCCTATCCATTGCGGAATCACACGAGTAAAATTGTCTTCCCAAAATCTTTTGTTTTTGGCATATACCCATCTAGGTTTGATACTTAAGTTTGTGCATATAAAAAACTATTTGTTGAAAGATAAAAATCTCACAGATATATTTTAGGATTATGCAATCTTACTCTTTGTCTAAAATAGTCTAGATGCACCCATAAAGAAAGATTTTAATGATATCTATAAGTTTTTTGCATATTTTCAAGACATTATTAAATATATTTTTTAAGATCTATTAAAAAGATTTATAGGAATAATGAAGTGATTGTTTAAATGGCATAAAGATGAGATCTTTAAGCATGTGATAAAATATGCAGTCTAACAAAGAGTTAAAAGCAATGGTTGCATTATTAGTTTTTTTATTTTATTTTTGGGTTTCCCACATGTATGTATACGTTTATATTTGAAGCAAGTGGGATACTCAAGTGTTATAATTGTAAGAAATTGGTATTTTATATAAATAACTTTTTCCATTAATAATGAATCGACATGCATGGTCTATGAAGCAAAATATGTTGAATACTTTATGAAAAGTTTATTATGAAGTGAGTAGTGGTTGGGAGGGGTCAGGGATTGAGAAAATGTTTGGAGAAAAGAATGGGACTAAAGAAGAAGGGAGCAGAATAGACATAAACTAAAACACTTGTGAGGGAGGTATTTGTGTTGTGAGCAATGTGGATGAATTATGGTTTGATTATAATGGTACAACGTGATCTCTTTTTGTTTTCTATTGCTGGCAAAATTATTGTGCCCCACAGGGTTATCTCAACACTCATCACTCCATGCATTCGTGCAAAACCAAAAGGAAAGCATAATAAAGCTGAAATGAAAACAAAAGCTAAAGCACCCTCTTTGCTTTTCTCTCTTCCTAAATTTTAACACCCTCTCTCTCTTTCTCTCTTTCTCCTTTGTTTCTTTCCATCATTCCTTTTTTTTACACCCATGTACTCATCAAACCCTCACAGGTAACAACCCATCACCAATCACTACTACTTTCAAATCAAACCCGGTTTTCTTCTTCTTCTTTTTTCCCTTTTTTCTGCCTCCATTTAATGTCTTTTCTTTCCGATACCTCCTTAATTGCCTCCTAAATTCAAATTAATTAGCCTTGACTTGCGAAATTATAAACTCGGTTGAACAAACATAAATGGAGCTACTTTCGTTTTTCATTCAATTATTAATTCTCAAGTTGTCAATCCTAATTCCTTGACAACTAGTTCTTATGATTATCAATAAGAACTTTAATTATTTAGATTTCCCTATCTATACACAATTAGTTTTAGCCTACTTGTGTGCTGTAATTAATTCCCCGTTTAGCTCAATATCTCTTTTCAAAGATTTTCATTACACTAAAAGAAAGGGCTTAAGCAAAGAACACTAGATAAATCATAGAGCATAAAATTAAAATGATTACAAACATTTAAATGAAGATAGAGAAATTAAAGACGAAAGATCAGAAATTAGCACAATATGAAGTAAGGGGAGATTCCAAACATATATATATAATAAAAAATAATTGTTATAATCATTAATATTATTAATTTTATTATAATAATAAATTTATAATTGTATAATAATAAAAATAAGAAATGTAATTAGAATTATTATTAATAATAGAAATTATGAATAATATTATTGTAATAATAATAGTTATTTATAATAATTAATAATAAAAATATTATTATATAAACATAAATATTAAAATAAAATAAAATAAAATAAAGTGAAGTCCTTATTGAAAATTGACTTCGTTAAAATATAAAATATTCTAAAATGTAATAAAGTATTAAAATATGACTTTAGTGTTAAAAAAAATTAAAATCATATTTTGAAATAGGATTTTTTTTTTGTCATCTTTCAAAGCATGACTTATCTATTTACAATTTTTTTTTTCAAAAGAAAATTTTAAAAATTTGGAAAAAGGTTTTACTTATAAAAGCTTTTGCCAAAACAACATATTCATTTACTATAGCAAACTCTGTAAAGCTCCAAGAAATCAAAATTTAAACTTTTCTCATATTAAGAATTCACAATACCAAAGAAAAAACTAACAAAAAATAAAGGAAATGGTAATGGTTGTCGAAAAACAAACTTAAAATACGAATTTATAATTTACATGAGTAGAGTTAAATGTCCAATGCTCTTCACTGGACTAGTTAATATTTCCTCATTTAACATATTTGTTAGGTATTTGGTTCAGCAATTCTTGAAACTTATGAAAATAGATCGATAGGAATTAGTATAAACTATTTATGTACCTAAATTTTTTGTAAATATTGAATTTTAACTTATTTTTATTAATGTTTACATAGAAAAGTCAAAACATAAAAAAAAGGGTTCAATGTCTCAGAGGGTTCAGTTAATTAACATTGTACTTATATAAGACGCACTTGGTTCTTTTATACTATTTAATTGAAAGTAGGCAAGTTATAATCTTTGGCGTGTGTTTCAGTGCTAGAATTCATCTTGATCCTACTAGATAACAACATGTTGAAGTTGTGAAAAATATATTTTAATATCCATTTGTTACCACTACCCTTCATTTCTTTTATGAGAAAATAAAAACACAGAATGTGATGTTGATCAAATTGAAAAGAAAAAGTATTATTGGATGATGTCACTTCATAAGATGAATCCGTACAACTTAGACCAATAAAACTACACTGTCATAATAGTTAGTTTTGAGAACAACATTTTTCAATTTTATATATATATATATATATATATATATATATATATATATATAATAGAATAAAGATAAGATATTTTTTAGAGTAATCTAAAAAAAACTAGTTTTATTTTCATCATTTATAGAATTTATTAAATTAAAATAAGTTTGGGGTTTGATAGCATTTGTGACTCAAACACTTGCCATTTTTTAATTTCAAGATATATCTTAGTGACAAAGAAATATAAAATGTTTTTTTTTTAAACATGTAATAAGTTGGGATATATAAGATTTACAAGTTTTAAAATAAATTCTCATTAATTGCATAAAAAAAATGGGTTTGAAAAAATTAGATTGAGTTCTATTTGAAAATAATAAAATTCGAACCAAAATGTTTAAGTTATTTTAAGAAGGTATCACTACAAGTTACTCATATAAACACTCTTGTATGAATAATGTGTACAGGAAAACAGTATAATTATTAATTTTTTATTTTCATTTCATTTATCAGATACACTCTGTTTTTTAGCATCAACTATTGTATTATAAATTATAATCCTTAACTTGAAAATGAGTCTAACTCTTTTTATTTTCTCAATTAGGCATTTCCATACCCTTTCTCTTTTTATTAGTATGATGTGCATTTCAGACGTTATTCGAGCAAGTTACAAAAAAAAACAAAAAAAATAATTTTTAATTATATATTTAAAAAATATCAAATTATTATCCTTTTATATTTATTTATATCATTATTAATATTCTTAATCGTTCAACCATTTGAATTAGTGGCAAATCTTTTTGGGTACTAGGGGTGATGACCCCTAAAGTTTTATAACTCACATATAACTTATGATTTTGGTCTTCCCAAACGTAATGAACATTTAATATGTTTATTTGTATATTTATAATTTTATCTTCTCAGCTTTATAACTCTAGTATAGTTTATGATTTTGTTTTCCTCAAACTTAATGATCATTTAATATATTTAAATATGTATCTACAATTTTATCCTTTCACCATTTTATCTTCTTTCTTCCTTTTATATTTATTTATTATTTATTAATAATATATTATTTGATCCCCAAGATCAATGGTCAAGATCCGATCACTGATTTGAATGTAAACACAATATTGTATCATAATTTAAATTATTTATTATAAACATAAAATACAAATATACACCATTAACTCTAAATTTTATATTTATTATTATTATTATTATTATTATTATTAATTTAATTGACCTTTCATTAACTTGCTGTTAATAATTATTTCCGTCAAGTTTTAATCCTAAACAATTTGTGTTTAAATTATTAAAATCATATGAAATTAAAGCGTGAAAAACTGAAAAACAGAATAAATCCTTAAAACAATAGTTGGGCATTTATTTTCATAAAGTTTCTTCCTTCTTGGTTAAACAATGGTGCTACAGTAGTTTTGAAGAAATGGACAAAGAAGTTGATTTCATGTTTATGATGATTGTCGATTATGCTCCATTTTTTATACAGAGAAATTTGAGATTGGAAATTGACACAAAGTTTGGAACCTCAAGAGTTTGATGTTCACTTCACAAACTTTATAGTTCCTAGCTGTTCTAGTGAAATTTCCTATCCGAGACAAATGGATAAATATGACAATGATGTCATTTTAAACTATGAATTGCGACTGCATTTTTTTTAAGAGTGTGACAACTCAAAGTTTTTTTAATAAAAAAAATAAAAGAAGGGAAAGGTAATTATTATTTATAAATGGATCAATGTGATATAACAAATTAATCAATGTAAAAAATTTGAATAAATGTTTCTGTAAAATTAAAAGAAATCATTTACTCATTTTCATTAATATGTTGAAAATTTTAATGACAAAATTTAAACAGAGATTAAGAAGGAAAGTGTACATTCGTTTAACACGGGTTAGCAATTTCCTCGGAAAACCAAATTGTTTAGGCAGATAAGAAAGGAATATAGATTCTTTTCTGTTTTTAGTTTTCGTTTTTTTTAAGATATCATATGCTATGATTGCCACTTTAGTTTTTTTTAGTGAGTTCATTGCCACTTTATATGTATCTTAAGCTTGACTATGTTCGTATTCTTTTTGACACTTTATTCAAAAATTTCAGTCTTTTCCTAAGTCCATATTCTCAATTCTTTCTTTTGTTCTTAAAGTGTAAAGCATGTGCCTAGGCGTAGAATTGAATGTAGGATTAGGAACCCAACTTCTTTGGTGGAAATATCTAAATATTTCATAAATGTAAAGTGCTCCATTACAATTACCAAGGATCACTTCATACTTTTAACATAGCTCTCACTCTCTCTCTCTCTCACTCTCTCTCATGTCTCTTTCTTTCTCTCAGATTGCAAAAACATACAAATCAATTAGATTTCATATATTTACCAAGAAAATATAAAATGTTGATTTGGATCTCACAAGAGCTCTGATAGGAAGGCCTTGCTTTTTTCCCTCGCCCCTTTCTTTTGTTGCTTTCTGTCTTTCTTGTCTCCTTGTGTTCTTTAGCTCCTTTTACTTTTCTTTTTCCTCTTTTGTTTTCTTTTAGCTTTCTCTTTCTCTGATTTTCTCAGCGGCTTCCTGATTCTCATTCCAGCGCTCTTCTCTTTCAGTTTCATAATAGTTAATCAATAATATGTATTCAGAGGGGTCAGATCCTAATTAAAGTGGCTGCCCCAAGCTGAATTCTAAATCCAAATTAGGCTTCTTCGGGCTTGATCCTGAAACATTTGAGGATGAGCTTCCATCTGATATCCTTTCATAGCTTAGACACTTTGGATCCATTTCCTTCTGAAAAACCAAAAACAAATCAATCAATCAAGAAGCAAATTATATCATACTATATATGTATATTTTGTACATATGAACATAGAATATTGTGTGTGAACAGGTTCTGGGAATCAAAGAACATTTGACTCGGAGAACGAATACAGAATATTTATATCAATCAAGGAAAAATAAAGAAACTTCAGATACGTACACCTAAAAGCCTGCTAAGAGCTAGAATTTGCATGTTCATGTGCTAGCTTTCAATTATTACTATTATTATTATTTTTTTCTGCATAGCATTGCCATTTACTACTTCTTACGAGTGTTTGTGTGTGTCAGCTATAATTTGATAGATTAGACCGTTGATGATTGAGTCAAACGGGGTAGGTTTAGGGTTTTATAAATGGGGCTTTCGTATATGACAATGATTAATAAATCTTAACCAGAGGGAGGTGTTTTACGGCAGAAAATGTTTTTAAAGCGTTGTAATTAGTGTAAATGCGAAAAGGACTGGTCTTGGCATTTGAATTTGTGAAGGACAAAGCAGCTTTATGGAAAGCCTTTTCCTTTTCTCATCTTTATAATGTGCATGGCAAAATGAAAAAGATCAAACGTATTTCCTTTCACTCTCAACTCCCTTTCATGCATTCCAAACGCAGCTTGGTATTTGTGTATAAATACAACTTTTGAAACAAAAGGCCAACCATAGGCAATAAAGGGGAGTTGAGTAATTAGCATTTACATACCTCAAGACAAGCCACGTTTCCAACAGAATCAGTCTTTGTCTTCCCATGCAACCAAGCTTCCCTGTAACAACAAACACATCGAAAGAATATATCCCATTACTCAAAGCCATGTTGTAAATCATAAAGTGAGAAAAAGAAAGCCATCTTTTACTGCCTTAATTATCTATACACCCTTTTACTTATTTTGCTGATTGAAATAAAGTTGAAACCACCAATTGAAAGTTCATTGTCCATGGCTATATATATATATATATATATATATATATATATATATATATATATATATATATATATATTTATCCATATATATAGATAGATATATGTATACATAGGACCATTCAAGGAAGTTTCAAAGGGCATATATCGCTTTGGCACCAGATTTCTAATTATGGGTCTACCAAAGGCTTAGCTTTGACACTAAGTTTCCCAATTGTAGGGCCCATATAATAGCCTAATGTCTGAGCCCCACAAAATCCTAAGGAAAGAGATATCTCTATTTTTAAGGTGGATTTTGGCAAATATGAAGCTCCTGTCTCTTTGAATGGTATTTAGGAGTGTGTGTGGGTTCCTTTTTTACTCCCTTTTCACCCACTAGAAGAGAGTATATTATTACCCCATCATGAAGATTGGATGCTCATGGTTTGTGGACAGACAGAACAAAGCAAACTGAAATGATTTATTCTTTTTGTGATTTTTTGCGCCTAACCATGTTTGCATGTGAGGTTGAGAGAGAGAGAGAAAGGAGAATGAAAAGAACAAAGAGAGAGAAATGCTCATGTGAATAAGACACGCATGAATTGCTCCGATTTTTATTAGTATTTTGCAGCATGACTGCCGGAGAAACATAGAATAAAAAAAGTGAAACAAGAAACACATTGCTTACAACTTGATCATAAATTTATAAAATTCACTTGGTAATAGGAAAATAAATATTTTGCCAATGTCACTCGAAACAACATGTTGCATAAAACATTAGTTAAAACTGAAATTTTGCTTCAGTAGCTTTCGGCATTTCCACCAAGATAAGTCTACTGATAAACAAAAAAAGTCCTCTAAATGGAATATATATGTCTAATAAAAAAATTTATATCTACTCATAAAAATAAAATATTATGAACAAGTGTTCATATTTTTATCTACAGCAAGAAGCATTACCTGGAAGAGTTACCCCAAAGACCATGATATTCCTTATCTTGATTAACACTTGATCTTCCCTGCTTAATGGATACATCAGACCTTCTAGAAGATTTTATATCAAACATTAAGTCATCAGAAGTATCTCCAGACGAACCATTATCATACACATCCGATTGCCCTAGTTCATGATTAAAGAGGGAAAAAAAAAAAGTCAGATAAACCAACACTGCATCAATCAACAATAAACTAGAATTTCACGGCTTAATAAAACGAAAATAGACGCTAACCTGATGAAGCCGCGGCTCTATCTGTAGTTTTCACCGTCCGGTACATCTGGATTTAAATTTGTGCATCATACATATATAAACATTAGATATATAGTGTAGTAGTACTGTACAAAGTAAATTAAAAAAAAAAAGCACGAGAAAAATAATGTTGATAAAAATCATAATATTAGTAAGTACTTATTATTATTAATGTTGTTTACAGTGTGTGTAAGACATCAAACTAAGGGGAAGATTGGAGGAACCGAAGAAGTTTGGCACAAGAATAAGAAATGTTTAGGAAGTAGCAAGTTGTGAGTATTAAATTGATAGGAAGTAGAGTACAAGTTCTAACACAGAAGCATTTATGGTTAAGGCAATATGCATATGCATGGAAGCGTGTGACTAACCAGGGTTAAAGCTGGCATGGTAAAGAAACCCACATCTGAGGAACGGATCATTGAGAAATGATGGTGTTGGGTATATACGTACTTGCTTATCATTTATTTTTTTCTTTTAAAATGAAATTTATACACATATTATTTCTTTAATGGCATGGAGTGAACTATGAGCTTGTCTGATCTCTGCTTGGCTGCGACTCATTTTGGATTCATAGAGGCTTTGTCCTACTTGTTTCAGAAATCGATAAGTACCTCACACACTCTCTCTCTCTTATTTTATTTTCTCTTTTTCCCCCCCTTTAACTTGGCTGGTTCATTCTTCCAAAGCAAAAAGCTGTTTATTAGGTTGCAGAAGCAGAAGCAGAAGCAGAGGCAGCAGATCTAATAGAAAAAGAAGCGCTAAGAATTTGTGAGACCCTTTGTAAGGAAACCATTGGAATTTGAAATATATATTCATGACTTAACTGCTTCCTGTAATGTAAATGTAGGCTGCGAATTTTAAACACATATATGCATAGTACGTCTTACAAGCACCATTAAAACACCAATCAGAACCGTACCATCTTCAAGCTGACTCAAGAAATCCATAACAAAAAAATAATAAAAACATTGACCTTAAATATTATTTTAATTTAATTGTTTATTAATCGTTTATACAAATACTAAGGTTATTATAAACAGGTGCAATCAATTAACGGCCTTAATAATTACCTGTAAATGAGACTTAACATGTGCTAAAGTGAGATCCTTCACATCCATTAGCTCAAGAACTGATTTGGGTGTAGCCCCTAATGATAACCGGTAAAAAGAAAGATTAATTACGGAAACCAAGTTTATTTCATTAAAATAGTTGAGAAAGGAAAAAAATTCACTTTCATTTTTTCTTCTTTGTCTGGTTGAATTAACTTCAATAAGTGAAAGCAAGGGTGTAAGAAGAAAATTAAGCAAAAAGAAGAGAAGGGAAAGAAAAAATGAAGCATACTTTCGTGGCCACCTAAGAGTTCAACCGCATGAACAAATCGAGCATGGAGAGTAGAAGTCCAACGCATCCTCGGAGCCCTCATGCTACGCTTAGCAGGGAAGCGTGACAAGAATCTTGATCTCATAAGCGCCTGAGAGTGGAAAGGGGTAGAACCAGTGTTTGCGCTGGAAATAATAGAAGAAGGGGTGGTGGTGGAAGCCTCTAGAGGGAGATGATGATGATGATGGTGGTGGTGTTGAGTGAATGGTATAGGAGGAGGGTTTTGGTACACTGGGATTCCTCTAATGGGTCTTAGAAAGCCGAGGTCTTGGCTTAGGCTTTGGTGCTGAGGCTGGAACAGTGGCTGGTGGAAGTAATGGTTTTGCTGAAAGGGTTGGAAGGAGTTGGTGGTGGCATTACTGGCACCGTTTTGGAAGTGGTGAATGAGGTTGGAGGAGTTGGAGTTATCTGAGGCTTTTGGATTGGAGAGGGAGAGGTCGAAGCAAGAGTCTTGTTTGGCCATTGATGATATGGAGTTTCTCGAGTCCAAGGCTCTCTTCCAGAACCCCAAATCCATGTCTTCTTCCGTGCTTCTCCTCCAACTTGATGTTGGTTTGGTGTTCGGAGGGCTGATTTGTAAGGACAAGTCTGGTTGTGCTGGGAAAAGCTCCATCCAAACAAGCCTTTATGTCTTGCTGCTTTGGCTTCTTCTCTCCTGTGTTTAATTTCGCAGACTTCTGTTCCCTCCTTGCTCAGTTTCCTTTCGTCGTGCAATACTATGTATATAGAGTATGAAAATTTTCAAGGATTGAAGACAGCGTAGTGAGTCTTTGTGGAGGGAAAGGGAGACCTAAAAGGTTGCTAGGTGAGGCTAATTAATAAGATTTTGTGAAGGTGTGTGGATGGAGTTTGAAGCATTCAATCAATTTGGAGTAGTTGCAGAGCAGAGATTTGAGATTGAGAGAGGAGAGGGCAAAGAGAAATAGAGAGAGAGAGAGAGAGAGAGAGAGAGAGAGAGAGAGAGAGAGAGAGAGAGAGAGAGAGAGAGAGAGAAGAAGGTAAGAAATGACAAGGTATGTGAAGTGAATGGCTGTTTCTTTTGTGTAAAGTATATGTGAGAAAATGACACTTAAGGGACTATACTATAGGGGGTGGTGGTCAAGAGAGAGATTAGAAGAGAAGGTTGTTTCTTTTGTGGACGTGGGGGGTAGGGTACTGAGGTGAATGTGGGAAAGGGGAAAAAAGAATGGAAAAAGGAAATAATGAAAAAATAAGATAAGGAGGGAAAAAAAAGAAAAGAAAAAGGTAATTAACTTGTAACTTTTATTCCTTTTTACAAATATACTCTCTCTTTTTTTTTCTCTTCAGATTAAAAATGGAAAAGCAGGACATTTTCTCAAACACCTTTAACGTGTGTGTGCTCATTGTTTTCATCTACAAATTAAACTTTCTAAGAAGCACACCCACACACACGTACACTACACAGAACCCCCCTTTCACTGGACTAAAACCTAGGGCTTAGTTCTTTTCATCTAATCCTTAAAGAAATTAAAATCCTGAAATTTACAGTCACATGATCGCACGCAAAATTTCAACATCTTGGGGATTTGTTTTGTTATGTTAACAGCCCAATTATAAACCACTCATTGAGATCATGATGAACCCTAATTCTCCGCAAATCACATCATGCATTCTTCTTAGCATAAATTTGGACCCATCCATCCTATTCTTGTCATATTCTTTTTATAATCAACCAAGAAAATCAAAGGTATATTTGTGGGTTGTATCCAAAATGAGGACAATTTGGAAAGTCACATTTACCCTATTTTATTTGCGTAACCCATTGAAGAGGACCTTTCTAACGTGGGTAAATTTGTCTTTAACAATACGGCCCTTAAGTCATCAAATAGACATCGTAACGTACTACTGAATTATATACACTCCACTCTCTCTCAGACACATGCCCCTAGAACTACAAAATAATCAAATCAATATTTTTTTTAAAATTATGTTTTATGTTATACAGCATCAGGAAAAAACTAAGAAATTAATAAAATTCCTGGAATAATCAATACATGTTAGACTCGTTGACTAAAATTTGCACGCGAAAGCATATAACTAAAACATGAGAAATTACAGTAGATGGAAGATTGATAAAAAAAAAAAAAAAAAAAAAAAAAAAAAAACAACGGGTGGGTCATGAGACTCTATCAAAATTAAATTTTATGGTTACAAGTTTTGGGATTCAAATGGATGGTCCTAATAACAGTCCATAAGAAAAAAGATGGTCCTATGATACACTCTAGAGATAAAAGACGTATGAATAATCTCTGTCTACCAATCAATGTGAGTCACTTTCAAGTTTACACAACATTATATGTGTCCTAGCTTGATCGTATAAAACTAATCTGAATTTCAAGCATATAAATAGCAAAATCAACTAGTCAAAGGTGACCAATCCCCTTAATTGGAATTAAGTTTGTGATCATTTTATATTTGCATTGGAGGAAGGTATTAGGGTTGGCTCATTTTGGGTCCAATAATGTAATACATGACATGCTTTTCTATTTCTGCTAGGGATAGGGGGTGCAAATATTTCAATCACCCGGGGGTGTTAATAATGAGCTTTTTTATATGAAAAGTGCTGATGAACAAAATTTGTTTACTCACCTTGTCTCAGTTCTTGATTCATATCAAAATCTCTTTTCCTGCATAAAAAAGTAAACAATTTTCTGGCTTCATAACATAGATGTTTTTGTTTAGTTAGGTATTAAAACTATAATGGATATGTTGCACCATGACACCAACCAGATTCTTTTAACAAAATATTTTCGGCAACTAAGTTCCAAATCTTGTTTAGAAATATTTTTTCTATGGTTAAATTTGTAGACTTCTATTATAGATATAATTACGAAAATAATATAATAAAAAAAAGTAGAAGGAAAGTCAGAAAATAATATTATGATATTTCATCGGACATAGTCTTTATGCAGAATAAATTCACCAATCTAACCGCTAGATTAACTATTTTCATCAAATATAGTGAATAAAATTTTTTCTAATTTTAAAACTAGTTAACACTTCATGAATTAACTTTACAAAATATTTTTTTTAAATAAAATATATACTTCATGAATTAAGTAAGCTACGTATACAAAATTTCTGGATTTAATATTAAGTATATATAGCGTAGAAATAAAATTTATTAAAGGTTAATTTTGTGATCACAAAATTAATAAACCCTCACTGTATTTTCTAAAGAGTGCGTATCACTTCTTATAAAAATCAAATTTAGAGAAATAAATGTCTGTTTTTATTAGCCTGTTTGATGTAATACTTTTGGTACATTTAATTTAGTGTTTTTATTTTGTTAAATATGTTCAGTTTTAAAAAATCATTATAAAAAGTTTTACATTTTTAACGGTTTGATTTTGTTTGTAACTTTTCTAATAAATGAAACAGAATTCTCTTTTTTATACTTTTTGTTTAAAATAAATTATATTGGATTTTAGATTCATTGATATTTCTTGGCCTTGAGGGGTTTTCATTGAGACGATAGTTAATAAGCATTAGTTACTAGCAATTAAAGAAAAAAAAACTTTAATTTTAATTTGTGGATAACCCAATCCTTAAATTGGATCTAACAACTGGTTTTAATTATGTAAGAAAAGTAATGATTGGTCAATAACGAAATAATTTGAATAAAAAATAATTGAAAACACATTAGGTTGTAGATGATTTGATGGAGGGGCGAAGAGCTATGGCAGTTCCTATATATAGGCTTGACTACTTTATGTTGGGTAAATAATTGGTAAATGATGTTTTGGTCTCCTACAATTCTTTCCTAATTGCTTCAATGACCAACATGCTTTCCCTATTAGGTTAAAGCTAAACTCAACTTTTGACCCTAAATTTTATACAATTAACACTTATTATATTTAATTAATCGGTAATCTGTCTAGCAAATCATTTTCCATTCAGTAATTAACCTCCAAATTTAGTTAAAGTGTAATAAAAGGTAAGATTCAAGTTCTAGTTCAACCTATCTATCCGTCTGAGATTTGGTCATGGTAACGAAAGCACTCTTTGTAAAAGGATATCCTCTAAGAAACTCAAAGACAACATACTTTGAGAAAAATTATTGGTTATTTGGTAAGCATGGCCACATAATCATGAGAAGGGTTTTATTATTTTGATGCAGTTAAGGACAAGGGTATTTATTCTAAGAATTTATCCTACAAATAAAAAGAGCTATTGTTGGAGAAAAGTGATGAAACGGTGACAAAGATGTGTAGATTTAGTTATATATAGAGGTTGTGAGAAAACAAAGTTAAATTTTCTTCTTTTATTTCCCCTTTTGATGAAAAAAGTAGAATCACTAAGAGTGTGTTGGGCAAATAGAAAGATGATGCAAAAGCTTTAATAATGGCTTTAAGGGTTGGCTACGACGACGAGCATTGGTATGCGTTACCCTTTGCTACGTAACTTTGCTTTTGATATCCCTTCCTTAAGTCATTACTCAACACACACCCAACTAATATCTTTGCATGATCACCTTCTTTTTTGGATAAAGCCTCCATAGGTCCCCCACCTTTCCACCTTTTACATTTCCTATAAATCATGCTATTTCTAACTCTAAATTCCTCCATTTTACATTCTTTTCAATATCTAAATTATTCATTTCTTATTTTAGGCTCGTAATATTAACTACTTATTCATTAACCATGCATAAGAGTGTAAGAGCACAACTAATATACGTATTTTTTTTGGTTAAAATTAAATAATCATCACCTTAAACAACAAACCAAACAAATAGTAGTGGTTTTTTGTTTTTTTTTTTTTAAGAAAAGAAAAAAGGAATGGGAGTTATTGTTTTTGATGTCTCGATTAACGAAACTAATCTTAGAAAGTTGTCTTTGCATATCCCACATCACTTTATTTTGGTATGTTTTTCTGTGCAAGTATGATGGTGATAAAATATGTTGGTAGTATGTAGTGTGTTAGTTAGGTTAATACGTAGGGTAATTTTGAAAACCTAATTTTAGGGTCAAAAGAAAAGGATGTTTGAGTACGTAGGGTTGAAGCCCAAAGGGGGGCATGGCATGGGCTACATTTGTAGGGCTAACAAGGTTTTGGTTTTGGGTAAGCTTCTACTTTATTTAACATGCCTTACGGTAAAAAGTAAACAAAAATCCTTCTACACACGTCCATCTCCTCACCTATTTTCACACTTCTCTTTAATAACTCTAATTTCACTTCCAATTCTATCTATCATTAAATACCAATTTGTAAGATTTCAAATTCAAGTTTGAATTCAGGAAGATTTGTCATATTCATCGTTTTCTGAGAAATTTTATATTTTTGGTTTATAAGTTTTGAGAAGAAAAACTCGTTAATTTTAACTATAAATATTTTGCGTAGAAAATTATAGTTTTGATTTTTTTACGTAGAGAAAGAAAATTAACAAAGAGACCAAAGTGGATAGATTTTAAAATAGAGAGATGTAGCTAATTAAAAAAAAAATGTTCATAAGTGACCGATAAAAAATGAAGAAAGCAATTATTAATTACCACTTCTTAGTATGGATTTTTTTTCCTTGAAAAGAATCCTCGCATTAACTAAACAACAAAACATATTAATAAAATAGTGAATGGTTAATTTATTCAATCAATTCTTGTTAATGTATAAGTCAGTAGTTAGTCTTCCTTTCAAAATTTCATCTTCATTTTTTTGTCTTTTAAGATAAATCTATTTAATTAATTAATTTTATATTAGTATGTAAGTGACTTTTATCTATAATAGAGGAGATTGAATTGTGTACTTTTTTTAATGTACATAATTTTTTTTCATTTTACCCTTTGTGCTATATAATTATTATTATTTTATTTTTTTAAATTATAATTTTATATTTTACATTTTAATAACCATTTTAGTATCCGTTAATTTTTCCTAACCGTTTTTTAAATACTAAACTCTAATTATTTTTTAAATTGTAAAATTATTTTTAATATTTCTTGATTATATTTTATTAGTTAGTATTCCATTTACCATCTCATATTTATTATAATGATAATTAAAGTTTTGTTATTATATTTGAAATATTATTCTATTTTAAAATTTTAACTTGTCACAATTTTATCTTAAAAAATATTTTAACAAATTAAGAAAATAAAAAATATATAAAGTACTTATTATTTAAGTGATTTTTATTCACATAAAAAAATGAAAAAGAAAAAAGAAATATAGGAGTAATATTGAGGGTGAAAAGAAGGAGAATTATGGTGAGCAATGCAATTAATACGTGCTTTAATTACCAAAGGAAGGAAGGAAGCAGGTATAGGAAGGAATATAAGGTCCGTACAGTATTATAAAACACAGTGATGAGTGAGCTTTGATTGTGGTGTTTGTGTTAAATTATTGGTTAATGAGTTAATTTGGACCATATACTACTCAAATACCCACCTCATTTATGTCATCAACACAATCCTACATTGAGACCAACAAAATATTCCAAACTAATCAATCAATTTCCCAAGGGAACATCACATCTAATCTTTCCTTCAAACGAAGATAAAATACACCAAATCACACTGTTAATTAACAAGTCCTCCTATGCCTTCAATGTTTCAAGTCAAACAAGGTGAATCCAAAACCTCACATTTTTCTATCTACCAGATACCATGCACATATGTGTAATAATTGAATAATCAACTTAATGTGATAGATGAGTTAGTGTAGTGATTGTCTTCCTAGGGTTCCCGACAGCATTGGAAGCACTGTAACAGAAACATAATAATAATATATAGTAATTATTTGTAAGTTGTGATGTCTGAATACAAAAATGGTAGCGGCGAAGGGCATGGTCCGGGAATACAGCCCTGACATTTCGTTTTCTCAACTTATCAAATTCGCTCTTTCGTTAAGGACTTGGATTATTATATATCCCCATTTGTCAACCATATTCCTATAAAAATAAAATTAGGGTTCGGAGTTTGTGAACATTGGAGTTCAACTATAGTTTTTTGCACATAACAATTAATGATTTAAGAAAACGATAAGAGTTTATAACATAAATGTCTTGTGGTTGTATATTCATTATTATTACTAGAGATTTGTGCCTTAGAAGCATCTAAACTTTGTCTCTCGTCAAAATTATATTTTACATTATAAACTAATCCTGGTCGTCCATGTCCCCGTGTTCAAGGAGGAATCTCAATTATATTTTGTTTCTTGTAATTGAAGCTCTGAACTTTGCATTTCCTTAATTAATTGTGAACAGCGGAATAAATACACCTTCCTTCAATAGGATTTAGCAGTATATTTTGAACAATATTACGAGTACGTACAAATAACACTTGTAAAAAAAATTAAGATTATTATCATCACCACAAATTTATATATCTTAAAATAAATTTTTGATGAATTAAAAACAGTTATGTATAAATTATTATTAACATCAACTTATTTATAGAAAAATTAAAGTTCTAAATCACTATTGCTCTTAGTCTCTGACTATGTAACTTGTTGTAAATATATTTAAAAACTTCATCGCTTTAAGATTTAGGTTCAAGAAAAATTTATAAAATCATTATCTTTTATTTTTATTAAATATATTTTTAAAGATAAAATTATGATGAAGAATTGGAATTTAAAAAACTATTAAAAATGATATAAGCGTGTATTTTTATATGTTTTAATACAAATTAATTTAATAACTTAATCAGTGTTTTGAGAAAATAATTGAATCAATTAATGATTAAAAAATGGAAAATAATATGATCCTTACAAAACTTAACCTTTAAGTTTTTCGTTTCTCACATGCAACTCTTAATTCTTCTACTTATTTGATTTTATATGTATTTTTAGATATTATTATTAATTTTTTTAGAGACCAGGTTAGTATACAATTCATTTGTTTTGGAGTTAATCAATGAGTTAAAAATAAAAATGAATTAATACGACAAATTGTTCTATATTTATACTGCTAAGAGGCTATTTAATAATATTTTAGAATATATATATATATATATATATATATATATATATATATTATAAGAAATAATTTAAGCATTTAAAGTAGATCGAGTTTGTAAACTCTTATGCAAGTTAAAAACTCAATATTATTTCATTGCACTACTTTATTTAGACATTGTAACATTCTAAATGTAATGTAACATATATGTATACTATTAATAACATTTCAACAATGTCAATTTATGGAAAACTGATATAAATGATCATAAGGATCCCACTAAATAAACTCACGACCAAATTGTTTCATTATATTTTTTATTACATTGCTTAATAACTTTCTTTAATTATTTAAAATAATAACTTTCTTTAAGATATGAAATCGATCAATTTAACCATTTGAACAAAATTCTTAAAAAATTTATAAAATTTATATCATACAAAGAACAAATTATTGCATTAATTTATTTCATATAAATGTATGTTCATCGTGGATAACATAAAAGAATATCTAATATGTAAATTTTGATAGATATATTATTAAAATATAATATTAAGTAATTTAATATTTGAATTAATTGATTAAGTTTGTATTGTATACAGAAGTATTAAGTTAAGTTAGCATGAAAATATTTCAATTAATCTGTCATTTTTTTAGAAAATAATTAGATTCAATATTATTTTGAATGATCAAATTTGATATTCACCGACTAGATTAAAAGATTCACAATTTCTTCATGTGATATTAAGCACACTCACATGGATCACTCATTAATCTAAAAGAACTTAAAGGTATATAATGATGCCATACGACCCAAAATTAAAGAACACTGTGAACTAACTTTTATCCGGTTGGGCTATCCCGAAAGCTTCTATTTTTCTTTTTCCCTAATTCTTTTAATTATCATTATGCCAGTGGATATATATAGTGTTTATATATCGATTTCTTTATTAAAAAAAATGAGAAAGAAAACAATTTCTTAAATTTATTTACAAAACCCCCGAACAAATATCCTATCTTCGTATGATTAAGTCTATACTTTTAAAGGGTCTAGTTTAAAGTTATATTTTGTCATATTTTACTTAAAAAAATTACCTTACAAGTTTTGTCGGAGAGTAAATTCAGACCAAATTGTTGTAACAACCTCATTGTTACTTGACTAAAAAACACGTAGCCTAATATATAAATTATAATCACATAATATATTGTCTATAAAATATGTAATTTTTTATTAGATTTTATAATTGCATCCAAAAAGCACAAATTATTTTTGTAATGCTATCATCTAAATTTGTATAAAAATATCATCACGATTAGAATAAACATCCAATAAATAATACTCATTAAAAATATTTTTTCTCAAAATCAACCTTAGATGATTACTAAGGACCATACCTATTTTAATCATATTATCCAAATTAAGAATTATGCATTCAAATCAAGTGCATTTACAAACCACTAGGTATAGCACCTCTTTATTTGCTTAATTCATATAATAATAGAAGGATAACTGGTGGAAGAATATACATTGAATTATTATTATTATTATTATTATTATTATTATTATTATTATTATTATTATTATTATTATTATTATTATTATTATTATATATTTATTAGTTAGACTATTATTTCCTAGTTGATACATAATAAAGGAAAATAAACATTATAATCACTTATGTGATAGAGAAAGATTTTTAAAAATTCATTCAATACAAATATGAAGTGTATGAACTTTTTTAACTCTTTTTATATGATATTTTTCTTTTTACGAGTATAAAATCTCATAAACATATATTATTATCTCATTACACAACAATTATATTTTCCAACAATGCACACATTACACATAATCATACACTAATATCTCATTGGTAATTACAATGTGAATATCACATTTACACCAACTCATGCACAACCATTTATGTAAACCTAAATATAAATACATAAAGTCCTAATTTACTATTCATCACATCATAGAATATTAAAGTATAAGAAGTATGCTAAAACATAAAAAATCCAATGAAGTATACAAAGTTTTAGTATTAAGAATAATTTTAAAATATATTATTTCAAATCTATAAAATATTATTTTTGTTTTGTCACGTTGTTTGCTTAACAAATTAGCACATGGTTAAATTCATCCAAGCACGAGCCTACTTTATTAAGAAACACTCTTATTGTTCAACAATTTTAATATCACCCATTCAACAAAACTCTTGAAATTTTATGAAAATGAAATTTGTCCAAGTACTCTAGGGTCGTCAAAGAACCAAAATTTTCAAATCTTCCATTTAAAATAATTTTTACTCAAAAAATCATTCATTGTTCAACATTGATTATACATAAAGTAGTTATAAAAAACTTAAAAGTGATTCAAAATGGCTTAAATATTTTTCACTGTCAACTTCACACTTTTTTAAACAAGTTTTTCAATCTATCTAGTCAAAATATTCAAAATTTTCATTTTTACCATACAGAAATATATTCTTAAACATTTCACTAATTTTCCCATTGGATCTAACTAACCTATGAAACTAAATTTGTTAGAAACTTTTCTTTGTTAGCCAAGCATACATCAAAATTTAATAAAACCTACATAGTTTAATTTTTACTAAAAACTCCATAAATTCCACTTTTCAAAAACTATAAACAAATCTAATCAGTCTAACAATTTAACTTAGAATATCTAGATTTTTTACGCTTGTTTCAACTTCACTCATCTTAAAAACACAAATTTTAAGTTAATTGTAAAAACATATGAGATTTCAACACATAATTTATAAAATAAGGTTCCTACAAATTTAAAATATTTGTAACAAATACGCATGCATTGCTAATATGACTCTGAAAAGGGCAAACTAGATTAAGTTATAAAAAATTTAACCAACTTTCCTTGCTTGTAATAGTCAAACTCTCCAGGTAAAAAAAAAAAAAAAAACTAGCACACAAAGCTCAAACTTATTCACAGATAAATTTAATTATCAAATTGAACATATTACTAAGAATCTATATTAGAAAATATTTATCTTTTCTTATGAAATATCGCATGCAAAACATCCTAGTTCCACATGAAAACTAAGAGAGAAAATAGAAAAAAGAATTTTACCTAAACCAATAAACAAATCCCGTAAAATTATTAAGATATTAAAACGGATGGCAACCCTACCTAGTATCAATAAACTAAATAATAATAAAAAAAAAGTAATGATTCAATTTAACTTATATTTTAAAACTTGTTATATACTTAGTTTTACAAACACATGAATTATTTTTGGTTTATTTGATTTTTTTAATATCATATATCTATACAAAATAATATATATCATAAAAACTAATAAATTTATATTTTAAAATTTAAGTTATGTTTATGAAATTAATTTTAATTTTAAATATAATAATTTAATATTATATATATTAAATTTTAATTTTAATTTTATTTTAAAAAGTATACATGATTATTTAAAATGATTTTAAATTAACATACCAAGTTCATAATGATGACAATGATTAAACTAAAACCTACGTCTTTGAATAGTATTTAAATTTTTTATAGTTAATTAAAGTGCATACAATGAACAAATTTATGGATTGAGATGAGAAAAATATGCATGCTAGTGTGTTCACATAGATCAAATATGTGACAAATTAAATTAACTAGTAAATATTTACAAGTGATTTTAATAAGGTGGGTGCATATTAAGATACTCGTTTATTAATTTTTTTTCATTATATATATATGGACGAGATTAAATTATTATTTTTGTTTGATATTTTATGGATTGAAGTATTATAAATTTTAAACTTAACTTAAATAAAGCATATTGATCAATGTGTTAGTAAATTTTAAATATTTTAAATAATTATGGATTGATGTTATTTTTTCATACTTTATTGTTCGCGTTGATTGATTGATATGAGCAATATTTCTTATTATTTTTATTCATTACACAATTTCTGTGATACTTACAAATTTACATGTGGATATTAATAAAATTACGTATATGTTTATCATATATATAAAAGAAAAATATAACATGAAATGTTAGATGGTTTCAAGTCCTAACATTTTTTTCACATTTTTATTATTTGATGAGTTGACAAAATACTTTAGACTTTATGGATTTTTAGTTTTCAAGGATTAGCTTAAAACTCAAAACATTTTTTTTAATTATTAATTCATTATTTTTACGTATAATTTTTAAATTTGATAGTGTCCATCCGATTTTTAAGTACACAAACATGTTAATCTCATCCAATTTTATCGATTAATGACTTTAAAGTTTTTGAGACCCATTAAAAATCATCTCAAAATTATCAGGAAGATTACTGGAGTTGTGATTTTGAATTTTTTACCATATAATTTTATTGACTAAACCTATTCATTTTTTGGCAGAGCTAACCATTTACACAGAAAGTATGCTTTGGGCCCACTTTGAATTATGGTTGGATCCATCATTTCCAAATTATTATTTTTGTTAATTTGAAATTTTTCTAAAGTTTTCTTAAACACCCCAGAAGATTTTAAAATAATTTATCTGATAATACTTTCTATGTTTTAATACTGTAATGTCATATTTTATAGGTGTGAAAAAATAGACTTAAAAGATTTAAAAAATAAATTATAATTGAAGAATCTAAATTAAATGAAACATAATTTTTCTCAATTTATTTAAACAATAATTTATATGAGTTTATATAGATTATTTTTTATATTAAATTGATCTATTTTATAAAATAATAATTATTTTTTAAATAAAAATAAAATTAATATTATTTTATTAATATATATTATAAATTAATTTAATTAAGATTTATTTATTTTAAAAATAAATTTTTAATAATTATTTATTTTAATATAATGATTAAGATTAATTATTATTTTAAATTAATAAATTACTAAAAATAAATAATAACAATGATAATATTAAAAAATAATTTTTTATTTTAAATTAAATAAATATATTATTTTATAATTTATATATTAAATTATTATATTTTAAATAAAATTTTATTTTATTTTAATTTAAATTTTTTTAATTAATTAATTTTATATAAATATATTAACTATTTTTCCAACTTCAATCAAACCAAAATTATCATAAAAATAATTTTTTTTTCAAGACTATCACGCTGGCCTTTCATTTTTATTCATGATTATAATAATATTAAATAAATTGATTGTGTGGAAACCTTTCTAAACAACATTGACTACTTTGCATGTTTTAATACAGTACTCTTGCACTTTTTGCATGACTTTTTATCATGATTATAAATATAGAATCATTGTATTGTATACTCTTTAACTGTGGATAATATGTTATTTGAAAAAAAAATTGATTTATTTTTATAATAATATTCTGCTGTTAATTTATTGAATAATACTCTGTTTAATATAGAATTAATCAGGAAAAAACTTATTTAAAAAATTAAATAATCAATACAAAATCTAAAATAATACTATAATTTATATTTTAAAATATATGATGTTTTGAATAAAAAAAATTGTGTATTAAAAGATAATATTTGGAAAATTTAAGATTATATTAATTACTTTTTTTATCAATTATATTTTTATCTTTAAATTATATTTATTACAAATAAAGTATATAACAAATTAATTAACAATATTTTAATTGGAGAAAATAGTAAAATAGTAATAATATTAATAAAAAAATAATAAATTTATTAAAAATAATAAAAATTAATATTTATATAAATTTATACCAATATCTAACCAAATCTTAAATATTGTATATTTTGACAAGAAAGAATATTATTATTTATTATTGGATTTTTTTTTATATGTGAAACAATGGTCCGCCATAACCAGCAGAGTTGCAATCATATCAGCTAAAATTGGCTAATAATTCCCAGGGCATGTGTTGGTTAAAGCTTTAGCTTAAAGTAATGCAGAAAAATAAAGTACTCATCAGATTGTTACTTAGAATGGAGTGTTTGTGTGTTTTAACTAACCACAGTACTTTCATCAATTGCCAGTACTTAAAAACATTATCGTTTTTATGCTGTCCAAGGTTTTCAAATTGGTACAATAGGACACTCAAAAATAACTTTTGAGTAAATCCTAATCAAAAGTGACTTTCAATAAAATTATCGACTATTTTTAACGATTAAATAATATATTATTAATAAATAATAAATAAATATAAAAGGAAGAAAAAATATTAAAAATTGAAAAAATAAAATTATAAATATATATTTAAACATATTAAATGATCATTAAATTTAAAAAAAATAAAATTTTAAAAAAATAAAATTATAAATTATATGAGAATTACTCAATTCAAGAAAAGTACAAAAATAAAATTATAAATATATAAATAAATATATTAAATATTCATTATATTTAAAAATACTAAAATTATTAATTATATAAGAATTACAAGTTTAGAAAGAAAAGCCTCATCAAACTCTAAAAAAATCCGTCATTATTCAAAACTCACTGAACTAGTGTGGAAAGCAACAATACATCCTCCTCCACGGTTGACAGGTAGCAACTGTTGTCATTTTATTCTATATACCTGTTAACTTAAAAGCCACGTCACATTCATGTCATTGTTCCCTTCTACCAGCATAGCACAATTCAGAGACAACAAATACAATGAGTAATTTGGAACAGAGGCCAAACATTGGAGGAACAGTAACACGTGAAAAGTAACAAGAAAACAAAAATAGAATTAGACACACTAATCTTAATGGGAAGATCATGTAGTAATTTAGTTGATGAGGGCAAAAGCAGTGAAATTTGGAGCACGTGGGTGATTATTTGGAGGTATTTGATTTGGGTTTTTCATTATTGGTCTTACCGACTCGAGAGATTATTAGATGGGTCATATATTTTTATGGAAACAAGAAATGCTATTTTCAATGCAAATTGGGTCACTAAAGTCAAACCCACTGCGTAACCACACAAAACTCAAGTGAGGATGTCAATGTCAATCAATTAGCATGGATGGGCATTGTCTGTCATAATTTTACTCCAAATCCCCATGCTCATACACTGTTATCTATTGTTTAATGCCAACACATTATTTTGAAAAAGAAAAAAAAATATACATTCCTATTTAACAAAAGCAAAAATTTAAATATCAATAGTTTATTTACATAATTTTCAAATAGTTAAACGTATTCTAAAAAATAGTTAAGAGTAGATTAAAATATTTATGAACTAAATTTAATCCTAGTTATTATAATAATTTGATCTATTTCAATCATAATTTATATAAACTTAAGTTTAGAATAGTTTATTTAAAATAATTTGTAGATTTATTAATTAATCTATTTTATAAAATAATAATTATTTTGTAAATAAAAAAATATTATTTTATTAAAAATTATTAATATTTTATAAATTAACTTGATAAGAATTTATTTATTTATTTTAAAAATAAATATCATAATATATTTTTAATAATTACTTATTTTAAAATCTAATAATTAAAAATAATTATTATCTTAAATTAATAAATAAGTTTTTAATTTTTATTTTAAACTGAATAAATGTATTATTTTATAATTTATATGTTACATTATTATATCGTAAATAAAAAATTTTATTAATAAAATTTAAATTTATAAAATATTTTTTTATTTTTTTTAATTAATTAAATTTATATAAATATGTTAATATTAAAAAAAAAAAACTTCAGTTCAAAATTAACTTGTTGATCTCATATAGGGATAAATTAGGCTACAATTTTATGACCTATTTTAAAATATAAGATAGAATGGATTATTAAATTCTTTTACTTAGTCCATAAAGTGAATGAACTGGGTTTATTTAGATCATCCGATTTAGCACATTTAGTTTAACCAATTTTATTATGCGAGTTTGGTCCAATAAAATAAAAATTGCCTTAATCAAATTTAGTTAATTTATCTTTTAGTAAATTTATATTAACTTTAAAAAGTAAAATAATTTGGACTAGAAATTTATCGGCCTTGTTCACCATGTTTGTCTCAGGCAGAGACAAAATTTGATTTAATTTTTTTAGACTATTATTTTAAAATATTTTATATGATAATATGTAAAATAAATTTTAGAAAAAATAAAAAGATGGTAGATGATTAAAGTCATCATTTAAACAAATATATTTTTCTTACATATTCTTCTCATGAAGAGGGAAAGAAAATCATGTAAGTTTTTTCTCTTTACTTGTTGGTACGTAATAAAATGAAGAGGAATTGGATTAAATAATAATTTGCCTCTTGACCAAACTTTTGTGTATTAATTACTTTTGGCTCGTGTTGAACAAAAAGCAGGAAGGAATAAAAGTAAGGCGTAGTAGGGGTCGTTTTGCAGCAGGGTACATATGATCCACGTAAATTTCCCTAAAAACCAAAGCATTGATTGATGTTATGCATGGTGCAAAGTATGGTTTGGTTTGGTTTGATTGAAAATGTGGAAAGTGGTTTTGGGTTAAGAAACAACGTCCCTTGCTTAAAGCAGGTTTGTTTTTCTGTGGTTTTACCTTTTCCCTGTCTACCACCTAATTAATGAGCATCGTGCAAATTTCTTTTTGTTTTAAAGCCTTAAAGGGTGAAATTATGGAAATCAAAAGGAAATATAATGATAAGATATGAATTGGTGAGAGATGACCCTACGCGGTTTATGTGTCGAATTTTAGTCGACACGATTGTAACAGTTGTGATTCTGATTACAGGTGATAAAGGAATCTTTAAGGAACTTAGGATATTACAGGTAGAAAAATTGTCTCACCCATATCTCTGCTTTTTCCTTTTATATTTTCACTCCTTCCACTTAACTAATTAGTGGAATATTTGCCACAAATTAATTAACACAACCATTTAATATAAAAATTACATGAATTTCCTAGTTATCAAGTAATTAGTGGGGTGGAGATGCATTTTGTTTTGTTCAGTGATTGGAGAGTGAGAAAAGAAAAGGTTATACATGCAGGTAGTATATATTGTTGAGAATATATTGAAACCAACCACTCACGTTGCCCTTGTGTTTCTTCCACGCAGCAAACACACACAAAAAATTTCTTTGGGGAAAAGCATATGAGAATACTAACTGGGCAACACTTAGGATAAAATCTGAATCATATATATATACAACTTTTTTCTTTTATGTAAATTGAAAGGTAAGGATATAATATTGTATGGTACATGTAATGGATGAGTTGAATAATATTCTTTCCAAAGTGTGATGAAATGATTTGGGGTGTGACTTTTCCACAAAATGGAAAGAAAATAGACATATATGCCTTGGAAACATACCACAACCCATGAATTAGAATTTTCTTGGGTTGAACCCCACACATTAAAGACTTGAAAAGCAGCAAAGGGTTCTTTTTCCATTTGCGTCCTAGCTATAAGCACATAGGCATATAGGATATATCCCCGTTTCTTTCCTAATACTCCACAAGAAAAAATAAACAAAGTAAAAGATGGAACATTTTGAATACATGTTCTCTGACAAAGAGGAGCAATGGATGATAAGGTTCCCCACATATCTAGTTAGACTACAGACTGAAAGATAATATGCGAGATTTTGACAAGAACCCATTAACATAAATTTTGGCTTTGTTCCCTGTCTCAATCTTACATTTTTCTTGCTTCACTTCACTTTCTATAAATTCACACATTTATTCCCTTTAGAAAAAGGTATACATAATTGTGGGAGCTAAATGGCCCCACCAAGTTTCTTTAGCTATTCAATCTAACTGGAAAATTGGTGGATTTGTCATGCAAGTCAAGTTACACAAGCATCAAGGTTCCCTCTTGATTGGACTTTTTTTTTTCTTTGTTTTAATGCACACATAATAATATTATTTTTATAATCTTACATGTATGGTTGGTTGGCTTAGCAAGTTGGGGAGGTCAGATACCTACAACTCCCAAACATACTCCTATTATGTCCTACACATAACCTAAAAATCAATGTTACACTCATTAGATTGATTTTACCTTGTGTATTTTTTTAAGAGAAACAAAAAAAATGTAGCAAAAGGGTGTAGAAGAAGGGTCTGGAGAAATGCAAAGAAGGTTGCAAGGAAGGAAAAAGAATGAAAAGGAAGAGTAGTACATCATATCCTAGGGTCGAGTGAAACCTTTTTCGTGTAAGGTGTATTGTGTAAAAAGGATCGAAGAAACAATCAAACTAAAAGTGTGATTGAGATGGATCAAGCTAATACAGGTTCAGAATCAAATGATGAAAATCATTGCTGGTTACATAGGTTCTATCTGTGAGAAAGAAAGTCCTTAACAACAGTTCTTGAAGGCTGAATAACTCTAGTGATGTAGACCTCTATGTAAAGGTCATAATTTGTCATGCCAAAGAGAAACTACAAAACTATTTTTTTCACAAAATATATGATTTTTTTTTTTTGCTGTTTTTTCACCATGTTGAAAGAAGATTAGGTTTACAGATGGAATAATTAATGTTTTATGGACACAAAAAAACTAACCTATATCATGAGAGAGACACAAAAGACATAAAGGGGTGAAAATTATTAGTACAAATTATTTAAACAGTTGAGATGTTGCAAATAATGTTTGAGGATTCGTGTGATCAAAGCCAAGGTGTTTGTTTTTTTTTTCTTTTTGATGAATTTTAACAATGATCAGATAAATGAGAAAGGAAAATCACTAACTATAATCCAAATAAAGAGATCATCAAAAAGTTATCGGGGATGTTCTTTGTAATTTTTTAAAAATAAAAAACTTTAAAGTAACGTTGGATTAGTTGTTTAAAGGGACAGGCATAAAATTTAGTGCAAAAATAGTGCATGATTGCTAGTAATCAGAAGCAGAAATAATTGAGTATTTCAATGATGTCAATAAGATCTATGACTAAAACTATGATAATCATACCACTTCAATTGAAAACTCACCAATGAACCGATATAGGAGTATATAAGATTATTGATTAACATGTTTAAAGTGTTTCTTCATTCTGGAATTCTTTTCAAAGAATCTAAGGTTTTAACTGTTATGTTCGAATTTTTTTGTTTTGTGCAACGACTATCACACACTAAATCATGTTTGCATTACTTAAATGTTGAAATGAAAAAGTGCATTAAGTTATGATCCTTTATCTTTTGTAAGAATTCTATAAAAGATATGCAGTTGTATGAATCTACTTCAAAGATTTTGCAGCAGACTTTGGACCCCCAAAAATATTTACACCAGAGTTCAATAACATAAATGGCATCAAAAAAGTTACACCAGAGTAAAAAATGGCATTGTTTTCCTCTTATTTTTTGTTCATGTGGAGAAGTATTTAATTGGTAAGAGGATTAAATGATATATAATCTTTAGATCAAAACAAGTATTTCAAATGAAACTTCTTCTCAAAATTGCACATGCACTCCTTTCTTCTTCTTCTTTTTTTTTTTCTTTTTTTCTTTTCTCACATTCAGAACCCAATTAGGGTTTTCCCCTACCCAATTTCCATTAATATATATGATTACAGTTTCTAGGTGGTCAAAAAGATTATGTGAGTTTTTCATTTTTAATATAAAGTTACATAGTAATCCATTTTTTTTATCAAAAGTTGTTTTCATGTCTTAAAACACTTTCATATATGCTCTATAAAACATATATTTTGTAAAATAAAATAAAAAGGTATATCTAAAATGCAAATGTTGTTTTGACATTACACTGAAACTCAAGTCTTTAACACCTTCCATTAATGAGATTTAAAAATATGTAGATGGTTACTGGCATCCATTGCATTTCCAAGAAGATGCAATTTATTGAATACTAAAAGATAATATATTATACGACATTCCATCACAAAATCTTCAAGCATATATTTATGCGTTTACAAGAAAAATGATAAAAGAATAACATTACTTATTTAGAAGTGTTTCACCTGTTTATTAGAAAAATGTTATACCCAATGTCGATGTTGAATACATTATTTTAAGTTATAATACTTATAATTGTAAATATAACTTTGGTTTATTTTTAGTCCTTGAAAATTTTGTTTTTACTAATTTTTATTTATACTATTATTCTTTATCATAAACTATTTATTTTTAATTCATAAAAAATATTTATTAATTTTAAATTTTCTATATCTTTAAAATTACTAATGTTGATATGTTGAAATATGTTTCATTTTTTTTCTTTCCTTGCACAATTTAAAATTAGTATGAAATAATTGACTTAAATATATTTTAAGTCTGTGCAAATATTGCCATGGTCTTATTTTGGTCTTATTATAAATAATTTACTATTTTTAAATCCTTGACAATTTGTTATTGTTCTATTTTAGTTTGTATAATTAGTTTATTAAAATAATAAAAAATATTAATTGACACAATAAGATTTGTTTAAGTAAATAATTCATATAAGTAGAATCGTTAATTTATTTTTATAAATATCATGATTACATATTATTTGTTATTTTATTATATTATGAGAAAAATATTCATGTTATTCTTTTAAATAATAATTACATTTTATTTATAAAATATTATTTATATAAAATATTATGAATAAAATAAATGTATATTTTAAATTGTGTAAGGATATGATTTTTTTTTATATTACATATAATTTTAATATACTATAATTAGTCATTTTTAAAATAAAAATCTATTTTACGATTTTTATAATTGTAGATAAATTTTATTTATAATTATTAATAAATATATTATTTTTACTATCTTTCAAAATTAAAATAGCGAAACTAATGTACAGAAAAAAATTGGCATCAAAGTAAATTATAATTATGTTTAGCTAAAATACGGTTAAACATTAAATTATTGAATAAAAAATAAAATAATATATCAATTAATAATTTTTGTTACCTTATTATATCAATTAATAATTTTATTTTCAGCTTTAAACTAAATATAGTGAGAAAAGGAAGAAAGATACTTTATGAGGGAATATGTTTTTGTCTATGTATATTTTTTAATTATATTTTATGTTGATATTTTTTAAATGGATCAACTTTATTCTGTAACTTTAGAAATATATGATTGAATTTTTTTTTAACTTAAACTTAACTTAGTTATAAGTTTTCATCTTAATATAATTGATAAAAGGATTAAATGTAATTTTAATTATTTTTATACCTAAATATAGTTTAAAGAATAATTTATTAAGTTTTAAAATAAAAATTGAAATCACATTTCACTGATATTATAATGATAAAAATATATCATCTATTTGGGAAATGTGGATGAGGGGTGATATATTAATCTCTTTTTATGTGTAATTCATCAATCCTTTCATTTTTTTTAATTTATTTTGTATTATATTTGTAAAATATTAATTTTTTTTTATTAAAGTAAACAATATTATTTTAAAGATTGTAATTTTAATATTGTATTATTTATACTACTGTAAATATGCAATAAGATTATGATTTAAGTCATAAATACTTATAAATTTATTTTAAATTATATTATTTGTAAATAAGTAATTTGAAATATAAAAGTCACCATTCATTATTTGGATCATCCAATTTGGAGACATTTATTGATTAATTAAAACTTAAAAAATATATTTGTAAATAAATTAAAAATTAAAATTTTGTGGGTCAACGAAAAAGTCTATAAGCCCATTCTTTAGGAGTAATAAGTTAGCGCTTGCATCTCGAGAAGCTCAACCTACCTTTTTATGTGTGAGAAACAGAACATATCCAAATGGACCAATTGCTACATCAAGATAAATAAATAAAAAATAAGAGACATAAATGACTCAGGTAAAAAAAAAAAAACATTATAAAAAATCATAAAGATAGTGAAAAGAAAATATCAATTTTATAATTTTATAATTTCAAATGATAAAATATTTTAAAATGTTAATTTATTTAGGAAGTATATGTTAAAAGAAACATGTTTTGTTACAAAGCATTTTAAACTCTCCAAATAAATAAATTATTATCTTACGATACTTCTTCTAATAAGAACACTAAAGAAATTAGTTTTATCTTAAGGTTAAAAGTACTCCAACCAATTTTTTTTTTATTATTTTAAAAAATAGTTGTCACACATGTTCTTATTGAAGTATTGGGAAATGATTCCTATCCTCTCTCTTTTTCATCTTCTCACTTCTCTTATATTATGTGCTGCTCATTTTACACAAATTCATTAAGATTATGTATGGAAACAACTTTGTCCCAATTTTATTTTTTAATATTGAAAAGATAGAGAGAGTAAACACAAAAAATGTATAAACTAACGGGATTAGGTCTTAAGGAATAGTCTCTAACATTATGGTAAGTGAAGGTTTGAATCTCCGCTAAATTGGAGGAGGTGTTCATGTACCCAAAATATAATTGTTTGAAAGAAAAACACTTGTGATAAAAAGAAAAGAAAAGTATGTATACCAATGAACTTTAATTACTAACATCTATCCTTTCATTGTGATAATTGAAAATTACCAATTTAACGTTGAAAATAAAAATTTCAAACAAATTTATACCAACGTCTATTAAATCTTTTCATACAAACAATCCTCTCCACTTTTCTCTTCTTTGTTACTCATGTACTCTCTCTAATTTCTTTTGTTAAAAAATCCTTAACTTTATTTGTTTAAATCAACAGATTTAAATTAATTTCATATTGTTTCTTTTTAAAATTTATGAAAAAAATTAAATATGAACTTTTTTATAATTTTTTATTTTAATATTAATACTTTTGAGTTTCCATCACAATAAACTAACCATGAATTTTCAATATGACAATCTTCTGAAAGAAAGAGTTCGAAACAACATTTTATTTCAAAATCTCAATATTTACTATTTTTCACTTTAGTTAGGTTAAATGATATTATGTTCAATAAAGAATAGAATTTGATAGTGTAGAATGTAGAATACGTGAGATTCATTTAGTAACAAATTTTAAATTATTGGGTTGGAGAGAAGAGTTAGAAGTTGTAAAAAGTAGGAATGGTTAATTATAAAGGGAAATAATGTAATGTTTTTAAAATGAAGGGATGTTTGCATGAATTTTTTTCAAAAAAATGGATTGTTAATTTAATTTCATAAAACTCGTATTGATATTAAAATAAGTTTAATAATACAAATAAAAGTTTGAGAAATATATCTGTCAACAAAAATTATAATTTAAATTCAATCAGATATTTTTTAAGTCGTCGTGATTTATATGGATATAGACTAATTATTCTGTAAATTCATAGATCAACCTGTTTTTAAAATAATTATATTTTAAATAAAAATATATATAATATTATTTTATTAAAAAAATATATTTATTATAAATTAATATAAAAAATTTACTTAATTTAAATATAAATATGAAAATAAGTCTCTAAATATATAATTATTAAGATTAATTATTATTTTAAAATAATAAATTTTTAAAAAATAAATTATGATGATAAAAAATAATTTATTTTTTTTATTTTAAAATCGAATGAATCTGTGTCATATAATCTATATATTAAATTATTGTATCTTAAATAAAATTGATGTTTTCATTATAATTTAAATTTTAACTATTTTTTTATTTAAATATTTTTTAATTAATTATTTTAGAATATATATGTTAATTTTTATTTTTAATTAGATCAAAATTGATTTATTATATATTGACATAATATAAGAGTAAACTAAATTAAAAATTATGATTTTTATCAAAACTTTTTACTTTTAATCATATATGTAGACCAGGCTAAATGGGACTTACCAGCTCTTAGATGTTAGAGTAAATTGATCTAACTTTTTTAAGTCATTCTGTTTTGGGCCATGATGAGTTCAAGGCCTGTCTTTGTATAAGCCCAGTTAATTTTTATTGATACGTAAACTAATTTTGTCGTAATGGATCCAAAAAAGATTTCAAACCCAACACCAAATTGCTTGAAAAACTCCCCATACCAAGTCAAAAAAGTTGTGTACCAGAAAAGAAAGTTAGTCAAAAGTTTGGGCTACTTCAATCAGATGCATATATGATGTTTACGAAAACAAATATTATAAGGTATTTTTGTCTTGCTTATTTTTTCCCTCTAAGGCATTAGAAAATATTGGGAAAAAAATGAAAATGAGTAGTTTTAGGGATTTTCTATAATTATGAAAATATTACATTATATTTTTATTTATTCATTACAAAATAATTATAATTATGAAAAATAATTACAAAAAAAATTACTGTTAATTATTTCCAAATATTACAGTATAATAATAATACAAGGAAAAAAATATTTGTTGACAACTTTTGTTAACAAGTAATTCATCGACAACTTCATATTAATAATAATTTGAAATTATTTTTTTTAATTGAATCTTTTATGATGATAATAGTAATAAATCGAATTCTATAATGATTATATTTGTTTATGGCTATATTTATCATCGCTCGTTGTATAAATATTGATAAAGTGTCTACGTGATGTTATATGTACCCTAACGAAACTGAGCCCGATTGCAGCGTTGATAGATTCTCATTGAATGCAAATGCAAACTTGAACCAATGTGCTATTCGTGACCTATTTAGTGTGTGATTTTTCTCTTTTTAATTACATGCTTGAAAACTTGTTGAAATAGGTTATACAGTTTTTATTAAGAAAAATATAACCTAACAGTAGAGAAAGTAAGTATCTAAAGTAAGTGGTTATATATATATATATATATATATATATATATATATATATATCAATGTCTCTTTTTCTCTTTCAGGAGTATCAACTCTTACCCAATAAATACAGTTGCAAATGTTTGTAATCAATAACCAGTATGATGTGAAAAATAGTTTAATACAAATCACATCAATATACACTAAGAAATGTAGTAGCTAAGTTAATAGCTCAGAATTTAGTGTTGGAGATTATTTATGCATATATAAAACTTGCAAATTTAGTACATGTCAATATCATCAATATCATTATACATGTCATCAATTTAAGTCAACTAACTGTCAATTTAGTACACTAATTAAAGGAAATCTTTGGATCTTACTAACAGGTATTCTAGGAACATGGAGTTAAAGAATGTAAACACATAGTTTGCTAAAAATTTGTAATAGCTTAAAAAGTTATTATATATTGTCGCCGAGCTTTACTTTTTGCTGAGTATATTTATATATATTTATTTTTGCTGTTACCTATAATAATTCTATCTGACTTGATGTTTAGGGAGAGCAGTCCCCATCACAAATGTGACCCGTGTCATAAAAAAAGCTCCCTACACACGACAATTTACTCCCTTGGCGTGTCAATAAACTAAAAAGTACAATAATCGTTCACCGTGAATGCCATGTAACTTTTGCACAGCAGTTCATCAAGGTTATAATTCAGATCGGACGTGTTTATTAAAATGCTTACTAAATTGTTATTTGAAACTTTTTTTTACAAAATTTCTATTAAAAAAATTAATAAATCATTTAAATATGATATACCACAATAAATTTATATTTTATAAAAAACAACTCATAATACTCAGGAACTAGAAAGAATAGATAACATTGTTCTTGTTTTCTTTCTAAACAGGCTGCACAGGCCATGGTATTATTCTTAGCAGTTGTATAATCCACTAAAGTATTTCATAAAAGAATAGTATATTACATTAAATGATTTCATTCTCTGGTCCATGAAAAAAGATGATCATCAATAGTTACAAAAGAGCAACTGCCCTTGACACCAAATTTGATCAGCACAACAAATAATGGACGAACCGTAAGGTATTGAGAGAAAATGAGAATTTTCCTTGAACTTTATTCAAGTAGTTCTAGGTACAAAGGACCTATTGCTACAAAAAGAATGGATTAACATCAGAAGGGGAAGCAGCTGATAGAATTTAATGAGAAAACAATGGAGAGAGACCCACCTTCCTAACAATACCTAATCGACTGGTGTGAAGAAAAATACAAATTTACAAGGAAATAAATGTCGCTAACCCGATTTCTAAGTCCTAACTTTGCAAGTCAGGTTCACCAACCAAAGTTGGAAAAACACCTCGGCGCGAGAACCCAAAGGATCACCACCCGTGCAGATTCCAAATGTTGGCCTGCACAAAGAATGTAATTTCATATCCTAATACGTTAATATCTTGCCGCTGCTTCCTCCCTTAATCAATCTTTTGGATTTTACTGTATTGTTAGAAAGCCCATAAGCTAAATGAAGTTAGCAAAGTCAGACTCTTGATCGCGTTTCGCAATCATTTCGAGACAACTTGAAACATCAATTCAATCTGCTCTCTAAGCCTAAAAATGAAGGGCCTCGGACTTTAAGGCGCTTTGGCTCAATCTCAATGGAAGGCGGTTCCCTAAATGTCTGTTGCTGCAACAACCTATCTTTCCGGTGTTGGTGGTGATCTCGTTGCATACTTATTTCCTCGTTCCCTAACTTCTTATATCTTATAGAAATGGGAATGCCATTACCCCTTGCAAATCTGTCCCTGGAGGAGACTTCAACACGACCTTTATGGTTAAGAGGATGACTGTATTTGTAACTTGATTCATGGGTTCTGCTCAAATCCATCGGTTGATCACTCTTTCCTTCAGGAAGGAATTTCTTCAGTCGTTTTAGTCCCTGCTCATATAGATCACAATATCATCATGGTCCATTCATAGAGCAAAATCTGATAATCCATTTAGGAAAGAGAGGAAATAATGGGAACGTAAGTTGAAACGCTGAGAGATAAGATAGCCATGGTATAAATGATGGACAGAATAAATAAACTAAATATTTAACAATACCTGATGCTGCTCAGCATGCTTTGACGACATAGCATCATTCATATTTCTCCTCTCTGCTTTCAGAGAAGAAGGGCGCTTTACCCTAAATATCTCCGAATCGGAATCATCGCTCTCGTCCGCGATGGGCTTTGTATCAAATCTCTGAAGAACCCCCTGTGGTTTAACCGAGCTTTCATAGCACACAGCGGGAGATAATGAAGATTCACATGCACTGTTGGATATTCTTTCACCAAACTCCTCAAAATCAACAATACCTAAGTTGATATTGGTATGCCCCTCAGCCTGTTAGCAGAATAGATAATTAACAGACAGCATTAGTTCCACAATCGCTAATAGCTTTTCAATAATCTCAATGGAATAATTGGCAATGAAAATCTTCAAAAACCGTATTCAGAGAAGAATTACATTTTTAGGAGTAGAGAAGCTCTCAAGAGATTCAGAAAGAGTAGATGTGGCTGAAGAAAATGAAACCTCAGACACCACGGGTTTTTTATTTTCAGAGCAATGTACAAAGACAGATTGATTCTGTGTACTGTATTCTAGTGTATTTGTTGAGTGCTCTGGAGTAGTATAAAATTCAATAACAGAATCAAGTTTTAGCTCACAATAAGGCGTGTATCCATTTGCCTCGGCTCTCTCAAACATATTTGACAAAGGATGTGCATACATGTTTTGGCCACTTTTTGTTTGCTTCCTTATCTCATTGGATATCCTGTCTTCCTGCTCAAACATCTTGGCTGCAGCTTCCAATTCCATTATATCCTCCCTCAAATAAAGTGTGTATTTTCCCCCACAGGTGAAGTCAAGAGAATCAACATCTGAATTCTCAAAATGTAAAGATATTTAAAATGAGAATATTGTATCTTTAAAAAATGCATGTAATATAATCAAGTAAAGATTTCATTGCGTCCATAAATGTATTCTATAGTCCGGAAAAAAGATAACATTTTTTCCCTATTTTAATGCAACAGGATAATATTGAAGAAACATTTCGAAATCGATGAGATTACCATAATGATAAATAATATTAAACAAAGCATGGGATCAAATAACATGCATCCACCAAACATAAAGCTCATAATAACATTAGTAAATGGAATTGGGCAAAGCTTACCGTGACGTAGGCATACAGGATGCGTGTGACAGTTGCAGTCAACATAAGCTATGTAACAATCACGTTTGCAAAGGCTACAGAGAATCGTGCCATGGGAATGAGAAGAGACACTTAGACAAGCCCTTGATTTCGTTAGAAACCATCGTGCACAATGCTGGAATCGCATCAAGTTAACAAATGAAATCTTAATGCTATTATGAGAAAAAAATTCTGAAGAGGGAAAATCTGAATCTTCAAGTTCCAAGCATGTCCGAAGAAGCATTGCTTCTTTGCATAGAAGTTCTTCATGGGGAAGTAAAGGAACCCTGTTAAGAAGTGCATATCTTCTGCTAGCAATAGCCCCTAACGGAAACCAATCACCAATTGCAAAATTCACTGCTTCTCCACAGTTGAAACCTAATTTAAACAAGATATGGAAGATTAGTTTTTTAATTTATTTATTTCACAGGCAGTTCACTGAATAGGTGGGAGAAAAACATAGAAATGAGAAAATCTAACCATGACTGAAGCCAGCATGATATGCTCTGGGGAAGGTTATTATAAACTCCCCTGGCTTTTGAACAGCCTTGTAGACAGGGACTTCATGCTCTAACAAAATATTTGGTGGAAATAGAGTTGTTTTCCCTAGGAGAACATCGAAGGCGCCATCTTCCCCGTCACTTGATAAAATATCAGTAGTGTACACATGTTCTCTGACTACCCTTTCAAATTCTAAAGCAGCATGACCTGGGATACCATACCATGTTTTCGATGCCCCACAATGATGATAATTAATGCTGTCATAACAATGCAATATATTAATATCATTAATAAACAACTAAAGAGGAAAGTCTTCAATTATCATAATGTTATTATGTTTTTATTCTACCTGTACAAATAATGATCTTCCACATGCCATGCAAACATACTAAAAAGCATTCCAATGTACAGCATAGGTTCTGTTACTCCCTGAAATAAAACCCAATATGAAGTCATGTAAAATGTATATTACAAAAATGACTTGAGAGGCCCAAGAAATTATCATACCGGAATTGATGTTTCCAAAAGCCGTAAACTTGATTTGGGCAACCTTGAAAGTTTCTGAGATCATGGAGAAGGTTTGTTAAATAAATTAACTACTACATCAAAGGAAAAGGAAAATGCGTATCTTTGTCACAGATATTCTGCTCTTCTATAAAGAAAGAAAAGGATATGTATGCAACAAAGTAATGGTCAAAACAAAAAGTGAGACACCAATAAAAAATTAACACCTTCAAATTCCATTTGCTGTTCCCAAGCTGGTCGATGGGAGAAGATGAAAAGGCACTGCCATCAACATCACATGCATATTCAACAGTTTCCATCTTCCCACAACCAATTTCATTCCAAAACTCTTTTTCCAAGTATGTGGCAGGAAGGCATCCAGCACTGCAATATCTTCTAGCAAACACCTTGTTTGCCATTTTCTCAAAATCACGAAATGTATAATTTCTGTTTAAATTACAATTAATTAATCAAAAGGGTATTAATTTAATTAGAATTACGCAATGCTAAGCAGGGAAACTGACCTTCCACTCATAAAAAATGTGACTTTATCTTCAGAATCCCATTCAGCAAGGCGAAGAGGCTGCACTCTAGTCGTAAACTTGAATCCTGCTTTCTCCTTCATTAAAACAACCCCAGCAGGTACTGAAGCACTCAAAGGAGAAACAATCTTGCATATACCTGGAATTTATCACAGAATTCAAACAGAAAATAATTAGGTTAAAGTTTTATCACTACAGGTTCAATTATCCCCTCCCCAAATATACAAAGCAGGCTACTTTCATTTCATTATGGTGAATCTATAACTTTCACTATCAAATTCCAAATAACCAATGATAATCCTCTCATTCACAACAAAGATTTCAGGACGAGATAATACAGAATACCTTGGGAAATGAACAAATTAGTGAGTAGTGACAGCAGAGATACGAAGACAGAGGATTGAGAGAAAAGTCATTTAATTAATGTGTCCACACCATGTCCATTAGTCAATAGACTTCTTGATTTCATTTTGTTTAGAATCTTTTTAAGTTTTTAAGCTACAGAATGAAGATCATCCTTCAGTTAATATAACATAACTATTTACTAAACACATTTTATATATATACATCATAATTTTATCGGAAAATCACAATTTCCAAAAAGGAAAGTTTATCGATTGAAGTATGGACATGGCAGTTGGCAGAATACTCTATCTTCATTTAATGATTTTATCTTTTACAGAACTCGTGATCAACACCCTCCCTCCCAACACACCCAAAAGCCAGATTTAAAGTGCAAGCACTGGAAAACGTTGCCATGCTGTGAGTTTGTCAAAGCCACACACTGTTCACTACTATGTAATATCAATGCAAAATACTAAAATACACACTCGAAGAAATAAAATATTCAGCAGACCAAAACTCAATACCATATTTAGAAGCTTCTGGAGCTATCTTTTGCAAATAAATCAAAGGATCCTCAAATTCCTCTTTTGTTGGAGAATACACAGGACACTCTGGAATTGTATCAGTCCAGTTCAGGTCATTTGTATCAAACTTTTCCACCTTGCGTTTGGAAAAGACATCAGCATTACCATGCAATCTCATGCCACATGATGATGAAGCTCTTAAAGCATCTCCTCCACTTCTGTTCATCATGTTAGCAATATTTGTCTGGCTGGCAGTGACGGATTTTGCACGCTGAAGCCTTTTACGCTTCAAAAATTCTAACCCATTTCTCACCTCCTTAGATAAAGTCACTCTTCTTTCCACCTGTTGATATTTACAACATTCACATTCAGGTCAGCATGCATTTAAATGTAAGAATAGAATAAAACGCACACATGAAAAAAAAATTAAGGTACAATATTGTGAAAATAGATGAATAATGATAAACAATGAACAGACAGAAACATATGTTATGTTCGCATAACTGGATCGTTGAACTAAGGTGACAAAAGGTCATGCAAAGCGTTGCGCGAAAATTCTTCAAATGAAGCAAAGTGGTGTTAATCCAGATTGAAAGAAAAGAATGTAATTCAAAGGAGTGAAAGGACTCAAGTTAGAACTCATGCAAACTAAAAGAGCAATCCCAGGGCAAAATATATTCAACCCTTTATGGTATATTAACATTGAGGAGTCAATAACTAGAGGAGGGGTACGAGGCAACCAAAGTCGTGAACATTATAAGAACACAGTCGTTTCTGAGTCAAACGTAAATCAACTCATTCTGAAAAGTATCCTCTAAGTTGGGCAAAAAAAGAGCAGAAAAAACTATCCCAATTTAGAACCACGCAAAGCAAAAGAGTCAACAAAAAAAAATCTTACAGAAATATTCAACAAATGCATGCGCTGAAATTTGAATAGTTTACTCCTCTCAGCATCACTATTTCCACCTTAGGGATAAACCAATAAAAATAAAGTAGTGTTAATCACATAAATTTCATCACGAAAAAGGAAAGAAAAATATAAGCCTAGGAAAATTATAATCCTCAGTTAAACTTAACCTTCTAAAATGCTATTCCAGAAAAAGGAGGAAAAAAATAATATTACATGGCGTGATTTGAAAAAATAATCATTCAAGCAAACAAAACAAGAGAAATCACATCAAAATTGTAAAATACAGTAACAATGTCCGAGATCTGAAGGAAGAGCAGAAGAAGATACATTTTCTCGAGAGTTTCAAGCATTAGCGAATCAATAACCAAAACAAAATGATAATACAAATATTTTTTCTGAACAAAACACGATGAACGTACCATTTCATTACGAAGTCGCTCCCTGAAGGCCTCCGTCTTCGTTAACTAGAACAAAGAATTGCCAGAAAAAGCAATCACAATAACAAATCCGAATCCAAACCCTAAACCACGATCCTGAATGATGCAGATTAAGCGCGAGCCTCAAAGAACAACCAGGCTCGCCACATTCTCGACGAACGCCGAATACAACGCTCAAACCGCGTCACAGAGAGATCCAACGGCCTCGTGTATGCACAAAAGCAAATTGCGGGAGAATGCAAACGTGCGAATGAGAAGACCGAAATCAGCTTCCTCCGGAAACGCGGAAAAGGGGGGCCGAAATCGAAAGAGGTTTTCCGGCCAACGGGAGAGGTTTTCCGGCGGGACCAGAAAACGGAGAGAAATAGTGGATGAGGAAAGAGAGGAAACGAATGCTTAGAAAACCGAAAAAGGGTAAGGAAGGGATAATTTATAGTTTTATACTCTAAAATAATTATCGCTTTATTAGTTCAGAAAACGAAATAAAAAATATTCTTAATTTATTCATTTTATTAAAAAATAATTAAATTAAAGAAACTTGAGGAGTGGTGGTGTGGTTGTTATTAGGTGGTTCAACGAAAACAAAACGTGCCGTCCAAATTCCAAGACGCGTTTCGGGTGTAAACGCGATTGAAGTTTTCCCGTTCCGTGTATTGACGGAATCGCCGTTACTGTTAAATGGGATTTATTTATTGGCGGGTACAGAATTGAAGAGTCGGTGATTACTACACTGTCGAGAAGGGTAATTTAGTAAAATGCATAAGACGGTATTATCGATGAGGTCTCGCTCCTGCAGCGGTCATAGAAAAAGAAAGAGGCAGGAAGAAGGAATGATCACGTGCGATAAGACTGGAGTCAATTATATGGACAACTTTGACATCGAACCGTTGATTTTCTTCGTCGTTTACTTACAACCGTCGAAAGTACGTGAACGCTACCGAATCAGAAAGCTCCAGGGGCATGTGTACTTTTTCTGTTCAACGGCCGGCTTATACAGGATAACTCTCACCTACCTTACAGTTAGTTAAGGCTTAGGAGATCAAGTGACGGTTTTGTCCTCGTTCAGTTAAGTCCCGTTACCGCAACGAGGAGGGCGTTTCGGGGTTTTGCGTGTGGGGTTGGTCACGTAGGAAATGACTTTGATAACGTGAGTGAAGTAGTGCATTGCGTGACCTGGCGTGATTGGGAGGGACAAGGTGAGAGGGACACGTGTCGTGTTGTTGTGAGCAGGAGATACACGCGGCATGCGGATAAGGGTGTGGTTTCGTGGATTTTGTGTATGACCGGGGGTGGTGGCCAGAACGGATATAGCTGGCGGTTACAACAGGGTTGCGAAGGTGTCCCACCTTAGGGCAAAGCAGACGATAAGGTCCAACCATAGTATCCACTCACGAGAAGAGTTCCCTGTGTCAATGCAAATTGGCTCTTGCATTTAGAATTTTCTTATTTATTTCTATAAATTAAAACATCGGAATTTGATATCGACAGAGAGTATTCTTGGGCAACTCGGTAATAAATAAGAAATTTCAAGAATCATTACCAATAATAAGTTTGTTAGTAACTTTTTACTATTATACAATAAATATCAATATTTCTTTAAATTTACTGATATTGTTAAACTCACTAAATGCATAAACCTTTTTATACATTAAATAAAAGTATTCATTCTTCTACAAAATTTCTATTATTTACCCTTACCCAAGTTGATCTATAATTTTATTTTAAAAATTATAAAATAACTAAAAGTAGTTAGTCAGCAATAATTAAAGGAAGAGTCAAGAGTCTTGTGAAAAGAAATAAATAAAGTCTCATCATTCTTACTATTTTAAAACAGTCAAATATATTTAATATAAAATATAAGAAGTCTTTAATGAATAGTAGTGATATTTACTAACAAAAATTTAAAAGAAAAACCTATATCCAATTTTGGTGAGGAATTCTCTCTTTTTTTCCATTGGGTGGTTTGGTCTGTTCCTTTGAACTTTTTGTTACGCGGAGGTTGGGCTAATGATTAGAATTTGACACAGTCAGCGAAAACGAAGCTTGGAGAATAACACAACAGTAGTCTATTTTTTCAGACTGCTTATACAACTATCTAGTCATGTTAAAAACAAAGCATCAATAAGCTTCTTGTATTGTATGGTCTAAAATGGTTTAGCTTACCATGATTTTTTTTTTAAAACAAAAAAAAAAAGAATTTAGAAATTTGCAAAGCAGGAAGTGACAAAAAATGTCTTTTATTAATAATTAAAGTGAGTGGCACGCAATAAATGCGGTAATGGGCACACGAAACCTGTTATTATTGACTGTTGGAGGCGAAGCTTCCCTGCTTTGCGTGTAAGCTCAGGTTGCGGATACTCGCTTAAAATAGCTGCGTCTGCTGTGTAAAGCAGCAGGAAGGGTGTTTTAGTAATGTTGATGAGTCAGAAGTTTTTTTTTTTGTTTGAAGAGTAAGGGTAAAGATTCTGTTTCTGGAAAGTTCTTGAATTGACCAAAATGCCTAATCAATATTGCGAATTCACTTAAATACCAAATGCTTTTGGGTATGCGTACGTCGTGTTGTGACTTATAAAACAAAAAACAATGTCCTTTTCTTGGGGACCACACCACAACCAACCAGCTCACAAGTTAAAAAAAAAGTGTGGAGGGTTAAATTAATTGCTTGAATGAGATGAATGGAGTATATGCTAATTAAAGTTAGCAACATATATGTTATTATTATTATTAAAACAAAAGGTGTGAGTGAAAGGCATGAATTGTGAGGCAATAGATATGGATTTTGTAATCGATATATGTGATATGAAATGATGGGATGGGACCATGGAGGAATTGGATTGGATTGGATAGGAGATCATTGAGGAGGAGGCAGGGGAGTTATGATGCCACATTTATAAAGGGTAGCTACTAAAGTGAAATGAGGGAGCTAGAAGAGATGATGTTGATGATGGGTAAGCATCCAAGTAAGTGTTTAAGAGGAGTAACTTTGGAGATGTCCATTTCCCAAGCACCCGCTATCTTGGAAGTTAAATGACCCAAAATGGGGTGAATGACAATGCCACGGGAGAATTTCAGTGCGATGGACCAAGTTCCTAGTTGGTCATAAAATAAAGACAAAAAAAGGCAAAATTAGGAAAAGGATTATGTGTATCAAACAGACCCCACCCTATTGCTTTTCTTGCTTTAGATTACTCTCCCTTTCTTATCTAAAAGAGTATATCTATATATAAAATATATTGATGCTATCCGCTCGTATTAAAAATGGAGCAGGACCTTCATCATTGACATGTTTCCCTAACTCCATATATGAATATGTGAATAAAATAAAAACGAACAAATAACGAAATCATTAGAAACAAACCAAGTGATGTAGATGGGAAAATTGGATTATGAAATCATCGTGTGACTGCAATATTTGAGCATTAAGAGGCACATGGATCATTGAGCAAGGCTCTTACTTAGGTGTCACACAGTGCAATAGTTATGTGTTCAATTGTTAAAAGTAATTTATTTTAAACAAAGTTATGAAATAATAAAAAAAAAGGAATAATTTATAATTTGAAATCTTATTGTGTATTATTTTATTGCTTAACAGGAATCTCTTGTGCACGCAAAAATCTGTCACAAGCAGGAAAGATACCAAAATATCTCATGTTTTGATGGGGATAGTTGTACGCCCAACCGTTCCTTAATTACGAAGCAGATTTGACAGAAAAGAAGGCCATATTAACAATTCATTCATTTCCCACGCAACGTTCTTTCTTTGGCTCAACCAAATACCAATTCTCTTGAAAGTAAATAATGTTCCAAAGATTCACGCCCAAACATAATCCAAGAATCAATCATTGTGATCCTCTCAATTGGGCTATGTCATATTCCCAATGCTCCATTGCTTAAGGTATCGTTAATATTATAATAATTAATAAACACTTAATTAATCCACAACATGAGAAGAGAATAACTACGTACTTTTTTTATCTGAAAGTTTATTACAACCTTTTCTACCTACTATTCCCTGTCACATTCGTGAAGAAACCAGTCATTATTGAAGTTAGTTTAATTGGTTATTGAGTAATTTCTATTTCAGTTGACTTAACATAAACACTTTTAAGTTCGATTTTTAGTAATTTCTATTAATAACATGTAAACTATTTGTGTTGATAGATGTTATTATGAGTGAATGATAAATCTTTTCTTATACTTAAAATGTACTTGGAATTTTAAATTCGACTAGTTCTATTTCTTCTAAACTTTCATCCACCAACATGAAAAGAAAAGGGTTAACAAATCATCAACAACCAAACCATCCATTATTAAACCTAATATTTATATTGGAATCTAGTTGGTAGCGGTAGGTTTCCAGTGGAAGAAAAATTCAGTGACGTGTGTACGCCAAACAATAATGATAGTTTTGTTTCTAGAACATTGTTTTTAAACACCACGAATGAAATGACCAACTATCACTAATTTGAATTAAGTCAAACAAGATCACTATATAATACATATTAAGTGATTTTCTTTTCAAACCTCTGATGTACGACATTATTTAATTTTTTTTAAAAATACAACAGTGTAATAACATATTTTTGACATCATTTTTATAAAGGATATTATGGGATTACTCAACCACTTGGTTGAAATTAAATATATTGTATTCGTGGGTTTAGAACCTTACCTATTTAGTGAAAAGTCTTATGTTTTCTCATTATCATACAAAAAACTATTTTAAATCAACAATAATTATAATATTGTAAATGATATTAGTTTTGGTTTCGAGGATAGAAACTAATTTAAATAAATTTTAAATTTTTGTTTGTACCAAATTTCTTCAGAAAAGGGGTTAATAATGAGTTTGTTATGTCCTCTTTTAGCCATTATAGGTGGCAAAATAATTCTTTGATGTTTTTAACTACTCACTCCATTGACTATTTTATCATTTCTAGTGCAGAGGCTTTCGTCATTCATTGCCCAATCTCCATTAATTTTATTATCCTTAATATGGTCAAGGGGTATACCTCTTATATGAATGAAAAAAATGGTTAGTCTACTCAACTTGTAAAAAGAACAAAGTGAGCTAATTGGTTTATTAGATAATTCATCTTATCTAATTTATCAACTTTTATCGGTAACTTCCTAAGTTATATCATCAATATATTATTTGTATAATTTTAAAAGTATAAATGTTATTAATATTTTTAGAGAAGATTTTAATTGTAATTAAAAACAATTATCTGTGTAGTAATATTCGAATATATAACATAAGATAAGATATTGGTTAAAATAATAATTTTTTTATTATTATTATTTGAACTACAATCTTAACCGTGACATATAATGATCAAATATTTAATCCAACTTGGAAAACATGTTTATCAATCTTATTAGTTATCATGTCATGATAAAATCTTTAAACAAGTACATTAAATGACTCCTCCTCCATCATCACATCATTAATTAATGAAGTGTTTAAACTAGTTCTTTAGTTAATTTTTAATCAACTCATATTATGGACTAATAAAATCTTATCAAACAACTATTCATCACTTATGATGTCATTAGAACATTTTTATTGGGAGGATTTTATGAGTTATTTTTTATCATAAAAATAAAAAATATAATTTTATGATACTTGCAATTCATTATTGATTTTACTTTATTAAACATTTACTTAATAAATTTTTTAAAATTTATTATCTTTAATATTATTTATCCTTTTTTTTTTAAGGATATTTAGAGTTTTTAGCTAGTGATTAAGAATAACAATATATTTTACCGTGGGTGTTACTGATGAGTTGTTTAGGACATCTTTAACAAAAGCAATTCTCATAAGTTATTTCTTATCTTAAAAAAAATTAAAAGAATAATTTATGATATCATTTTTAAACAATTTATTATTGATTTTAATCAATTACAAATTTTCTCCATAAATTTTTTCAAATGTATTATCTCTTTCCATTTACTTTGATTTATTTACTTTTTTTAATTTGTTTTATGAAATAACTACGAATAAAATTTAAACCCTTATCAATTAGAAGTTGCTTAAAGTAACTAAAAACATATTCAATAAGAATTTTTTATTCAGATGCTTAAACACAAAGTATTAGTTATTTGAAACAATTTTCTGTTGAAGAAATCTTAGGAGGCATGATAAGTTGTTTAAATTTTTGTATAATTATTTTATTAAGCAACTTAACAAAATAAGTAAATCAAAATAAATGAGAAGAGATTATGAATTTTTTAAAAAACTTCATAGAATAAAATAAATATTGAGTTACTTAAAAATGATGTAATATCATAAATCCTTTTTACATTTTTTAAGATAAGAAATAATTTATGTGAGTTATTCCTATTGGA